ATTTTAACCATGTCTAAGCATTTGGAAGGCTTCGTCTACATAATAAGCTAAGCTTCAGCCGTTAGCCTCAATTAGAGCTGACAACAGCTTAACGAACGTTAGACCCGGGATAACGTAGTGTATTCGTACATTTAGGAGTTAAGCTATAATAATCAGCCCGTATGCCTAATTTTCATCTGCCTAGTGGATTAAATTTGGCATAATTTTTGAACTATAATTACCAAAAAAAAAAAAAAAGAATATAATATAATAAAATGAAAAAAAAAAGAAAATAATAATACAAAAAATTAAAATTAAAAAAAAAAATTTAAAATAAACAAAAAAAAAATTTTATTGAATATAATATCATTACGATAAATCAGTGGCATTTAAGCTTCTTTTATTGTGAAACGACAGTTATGGCTTACTTTGGAAAATTGAATATTTTTTTCAAGGTATTTATATTTTAATGTTTTCGATTGTCAAAAAATGTAGCCTAAACTTTGTATAAAATTTATTATTTTATATTGTCATTAGGGTGTAGAAAGCAGTACAATATTTTCTAAGCATTTGGTCTTAATGCTATTTATTCATTTCCTTAAAAATATTTATGCAAGAAAATTGGTAATGATTGAAAGGTTCTTTGAGCCGAAAACTCAACAAGGCCTTTATCGGCAGATATTGATTTAATTGCGCAGAAAAATAAAGATATTAAATATAAATGGAGAGTGGTACATGCAGTTTTAAATTGGAGAAATATTTTGTGTTAGAATTTTCCAACGGATAAGGCGCTCAATACACATCAGCAATGATGGCTTTCCTAAATAAATAAAATAATGTAAAGAGTAAAGGAGTCAATGCTAAAAAATAAAATGTAAGCGCGGGAGTTTCGTAATTTGAGTTCTTACCTCCTTTCGCTGCATTTACCGTAAATATAATATTTATATAAGAAAACAAATTGTTTTTTCCATTTTTTTATCAAATATCTCTTTCAGCTGTGTTCTATGTTCCGCTGGGTAATTAAAAATTCAATTTCTTATATTTTTTTGCATATATTTTTCATTTTATCTATGCTCAGTTTTTATTACTTTTATTTATCTAATAATTTCTTACTCCACTTTTTATTAATTTATTTCTGTTTTTTGTTTTTAAATACACACTAATATTATCATATTATCTTATTATCCTTATTTTCCTATTTTTTTTTGTTTGTTTGTTTTCATAAGTAAAAAAAGTAGTAAATTTATAGGCTTACAATTTCACACACTCACATATTTCTTCGTTTACTTTTCTCAATAACTAAGTGATCATGAATTTAAAAATTAATGTTTTTTTTTTGGATCATTGGAAAAAATATTTCTTTGTGTTTGCTTAGCGCGTAAGTAAGTTGAAAGTAAATTTATAATACAAATTGCTTAATTGTCTATACAAAAATGGATTACCATTTCAGTTATAAAAAAATATTTAAATAATTACAAACATAATATAATTTTAAAGTCAGCGATATTTTTTTACATGAAATATTTAAAGACTGTTAAGTGGGAAGAAATATTTCATTTTTATTTTTTTAATTAAGAGGTAAAAGAATGTGCAACTGTTTAATACAAGAACTAACAGTATTTTTATTTTAAATTTTTTAAAAGGCAAATAAATTATATCGTACGGTATAAAGTTTTCAAACAAATAAAAGTTTCGATGAGAAACGAATACAAATGTTTAAATGCAATAAATGAAAGTAGATATTCTTTATATTTTTTAAACTTTAATCAATAAAAAATTTAAGTAGTAGAATAGTAGGTTTTCGGCTTATAGAAAAAGCTATTCTGACATATTAAATGAAAGAAAGGTAAATTTATACCAATAAATAAAACTGAAAATTAAAGTTTTTCGGCTATCTGACTGTATTTTCCGACATAAAATTGTTTATTATTTTCCAAAATTTTTCGAGAGCAATTAAATAAGGTAAAGAATTTGCGAATATATTTACTCGAGATATTTTTGTTTCATAGAAAAATATATTTATAAATTTTCTCGACAAAAAAAAAACGTTTGCAGTTGTATTTTCATAGAAAAATATTTTTATATAAAAATATGATTATTTCAAATTATTTGAGCTTAACGAAAAAAAATTTAATATTGTTTTTGATAAACTAAAAAAAAAAAATTATATTTAACGAATATAAAAATATATACAGATGTTCTTTAAAAAAAAAAAAAAAATAAAAAAAATTAAATAACCTAGAAATTAAACAAAAAAGTTACTTTTTTTAAATTTGCACATAAAAAATATAAAATGATTTTCACACGAAACCATTAGTATTATTATTAAAATGTATACATATATACAATTAAATGCACATTTACTGTATCGCGCCTAAGAATATGCAACTTAAGTCTAAATAAACGAGAACTAACTAATTTTAAACTGAATTGTGCGCTTTAAGTATTTATTTTATAAATGAACTTAACAAAAATTACTTTAAAAAATATTTTTGTTGTATTCTCTATTTTTGTTTTTGTAATTGTACGTAATAATACAGCTGCCACCAATCAAAGGTAAAACAACAAAATTCGTTGCCGTTGATTTCAATATTATTCGAAAAAAGCAATTTTCCAGCGTGCTTTTTACACATACATACATACATACATATACAGAGTTGAGTAAATGCTTCAGTAGCTCTTTGTGTTTTTTGTAGTTGTTTTTTTTTTGATAATAATAGTACATTATCTCTTTAAGAAAAAGCACTTAATTTCTTTTGGTTTAACAAATGAAATTTTTTTTTGTTTATTTGTTACTAAAGATTTGCAAGTGGGCAATAAATATAGAATCTGCTTAACTATTCAACAATTAATACGAGTTTTTTTTTTAGTAATATTATACATTTCGTTTGCGTTAAGAAACATACACATCTTTTTTCTTTCTTTGTATATATGTGTGTGTGTGTGTGTGTATTTGTAGTTCAAATTTCATTTATATATGGTTTGTAGGTAGAAAAATTCATTGAGTTACAATTTTTTTGTGGGCGGGAGAAAGGATTTATTTGATTAGTTTTTGTTGTATTTAGTTTTCGTTAAAATTTTTAACAGTGTTTTGAGTGAAATAATCGCATATCTACTGTCTCCTTTTTTAATGCATTTAAAATTTAAATTTGCTTTCGACGCATATACATACATACATACATACTATTTTAATGCTTTTTCACTGTATTAATTTCGTTTCGTTCTTATTTTCGCATATGATATCAATTTTCAGCTACCGAAAGTAATCAACAAAAAAGATTTCACAAAAAATTTACTTTAGCTACTGTATGTTTGTTTGTTTTTTTTTCAGTACATTTTGTAATACTATAATACAGAGATTTGTAATTTTTTCTTGCCTACTCACAAGTTAAATATTTAGTATTTACAGATTTTGTCAATTAATTCTGTATGATTTCGTAGTTTTTTTTGTTGTTGTTATTTTTAGAATGCAGTACAGTTGCTTGATATATTTTAATTTATTTTTATTTTATTATATTTTTCTATACACTTACATATATATTGAGTGTTATTTTCTGTTTTACACATTTTTAAATTTTTTATTGTTTTTTTTATGTATTTTGTTACATATTGAATTTTAGTTTTATTTAGTATTTTAATTTTGGATTTCATATGCATGCCTTGTTTATAGTACAAAGTATTCGCGCAAATTTTAGTCTTTTTCCTTCTATTTTAACTTCGTTCAAATGTTGCTAACTAAAGTTCTTCTTTCGAAATATTAATTTTTCTTCTATTACTTTAATAAGCACACACATATACACAGTATTTTATATACACTTTTATACAGTTTTAGTTTTTTTTTTTAAATAATACTAGGCAGAGTTAGCAATAGTGGGGCAGATCCCTCTAGAAGGCTGAGGCTGGTATGTATTTTATTCGTTCATCTTTAGTCTTTGAAAAAATACTTTTATTTGGTCTGTACAACAATAAGTTTTCTTCATCATCAAAATTAGAAATAAAAAACTTGATTCACAACAAAAATTAGTTTTTTAATTATTTTCTAAAAATAAGTTCTTTAACAGTAGCTTTGCCATTTAAATAGAATTAAAAATATGTTGTAAAAAATAATGAAAAGTTTGAAAACAATTTCTGAAAACAAAATTTAAATTAATTCGGAGTACTAGTATTGAAACGCCTTGCCCTTTGCCCTATTATTTAGCTAAATTTTCAACTACACTATGTGAATTTATATTGAATATACATTACACTAGTGCTTACATACATACATACCCATCAGCTTAAAATTAACTGCTATAAGCTAGACAGTTCTTATGGAAGTCTTCAAACTTTTTGTTCAAATTAGAGAAAGAAAGGAATTTTTTCTGAAACATAAATATTTCGACAGATTTTTTCAAAACAAAAAATACTTCTTTTTATTTTTTTTTATATTAAATGAATGGGGTTGAACTTAAATTTCAACAAAAAAAGGGAAATAAAAAAATTTAAATAAAAAAATAACATATCTTTAAAAGTATTTTTTATTTATTTTTTTCTTAAGCATCTTTTTCACAAAATTTATAATAGCGCTTTGGAAAATTATAACAAAAATTTAAATAAGCGAACGAGAAAAATTATATACCAATGAAAAAAAAAAAGAATCAATAAAATTAAATTAAAAAAGATGATATAAAAAACAAGAAAAATTATAATAAAATAGATAACGTAAAGAATGTAATATTAAAACGTGTGAAAAAATTGCGTGAACTTTATTTAAAAATAAAAATATTAAAAAAAATAATAATAAAAAAATCATGCAATTATATGAATTTCTTACAGCACTTTTAGCTGCGAAAAGTGTACATTTTTACTGCAAATAATTAAATAATAAATACAACAGCGGCCAATTTGATTGCCCAGCAGATTACCTTAAAAAAATACAGTTTTTAATTAATAAAATTAAAGTTGAATTAATTCACATCAACCCGTATTTATGCCTCCACCCTTTTCTCTTTCCCTTTTCCGTTTTCCTTTCCTTCCTTTCATTTTCACTGTCACACCCGCACTTGCTTAGTTACTAAATGTTTGAATTTACAATTTATTTACAACATTGCCTAAATTACAGCATATCTCTCAACGTCCGCTACCTACCAGCGTTCTGCAAGTTCTCGGTCCCCAGACTAAACGATTGTTGTACGCTCCGCATTGCTCGTACACGTACTACTCCCACCGATGCATACAAATTGACATTTAATGTCATCTTTCGGTAATTCTCAGGAGGCCACTGTCTCATAGTTGCCGCTACCCAGAAGCGCTGACGATGAGTTGAGTAGCGGCATGCCACCACCGCCCATCGTTGTCGTCGTTGCAGTAACTGACATGCCATTGCCTGCAGCCGCCACCGCTGCTGCTGCTGCTGCGGCCGAGGACATGCCCATATTCAAATTACCGCCCACCGCTGCGACATTGTGCGTGCGCGGCGATGTAAGCAACGTTTGTGTTGCGGCTAGACTAATATTCCCCGATGTCATCGATGTGGTGAGCGCTGTGGGTATGCCATTGGTCGGCATTGATGTCAACGCTGTTGCGGCTGCTGCCGAGTGGGATACGGCGCTGCTGTGATGCTGCATAGCAGCGCCCGGATGGGGTAATGTATTACAATGCATGCCGCTGCTGGCGTTGCTAGTGAGACTGCCACCGCCCATGCCGAGACCGCCGCCCGAGCTGCTGCCCAAGGTGCTGCTGTTCGTCTGTAAAGAGCCATTCGATTGACCGCTGAGCAACGGTATGGCGCAAGTTGTGGTCGAGCCGTAGGGCGAGGTGGGTGAGGTGCGCGTCTCGTAGGCGGGCAGATAAGAGCGGCCGGGTATGCGTGTGTAGATATTGGGTGGCGTACGTGTGGAGAGCAGCGGCGGTGGCGCCGTATAGACGGGACGTTGGGCTGCCGGCGCACGTTGGGGTGTGTTGTAGAGGCTAAAGGCGGGATTGGTGGTGAGCGAGAGTTCGCCGTACTATAAAAAAGAAAGAGAGTGAAAGGTAGAGGAGTTATGTTTTAATAGTTCAAAGTAAGAAAATATTTGCAAAAATTAAATAACTTCTAAGTGCAACAAAATTTCTTAGAAATAAATTCCAGACACGTGCGGCGACTTGTAGTGACCATTTTAACTTTTAATTCTAAATTGCTGCTGAAGGCTACAATACGTTTGGACATACATAAATATTGTTTCTTCTAATAATTCTAAGTGCTCTTTTCATAACCAAACCTGCCCACGGGCGTCCGTACACATTTTTCCTTATTTTTGCATGTCAACGCACCACGAAAACAAAAACAACAGCAGCAGCTACTCTTATTCCTACACCTTTTGAATTAACCCTTTCATGCTACACTTAACATTTGCACTTAAAAAATATTAAAAGCAAAATATAACAAGCCACACCCGGAGCTCTTGCCCGCTCTGGTGGGAGTATGTGCTATAAGCATGTTACTCATACGTCCTGTCGCTCGTCTGCCGTTGGTCACTCTTCACTGCCACTCACAAGCACAGTAATAATAATAATAATAATGATAATAATAATAAGCTTACATCCCTAGGGCATAGTAAGTATGACACACACACACACACATACTTCAATAGCTAAAGCCACTTACGTATACTCATATGTTCAATAGATGTTGTTGCTCTAGTTAGTAGTTGAAAATACACTTGTGCTTATACCGAGGCTACTGTATATGCATGTAAACCGTTATTAATACTAAATTATGCAAGCAGACCCGAAGATAACTTAAGCATTATATATTTGTATGTGTCGACATCTACGTATGTTTATTGGTTTGTAGTATAAGTGCTACCATTAAAAAGACATATGTGTTTGTACTGTGGTTATTCCTTCGTACTACGTTTTCGTACACTTTTATCTTTGGAAAACTTAACTTCCACTTAGACTTAACAAACCAAATTCACACTCACTTGACATGCGAACATAAGTTTGGGAGCGATTGCATATATCGCTAATTCCTCTTGGGACACACATATTCGTATACATGTATGTATGGGTAGTGCTGAGTGGCAAATACTTAGATGTTCGATTGGTGAGCGAGGGTATTGAAAAATATGAATTTCAGAGTAAGTACACAGGTAACCTATTAAAATTATTCCAAAAAAAAAAAAAAAAAATATATATAAAAAATTACAGTTTGAGTGCACTAAGGGAAGCGAAAACATTAATTTAAAATGTTTAAAAGAAGAGTGGGCACTTAGGAATTATTTAAAATAATACTTAAGTATTTAACAAACCTAATAAGAATTTATTGACAATGTGCCCTGCCACCTACATGTTGTGACAGATTTTGGACATTTCCCTGGAAATGTTTCACAACTGTCAATAATAATAAGTATGTGCATAAGCGTCTGCTTCTGACTACAGCATCTTTGAATAGTAAATTTTTTCCGATGGTACTCATGGGCCGATATAGCCGCATGATTAGCTTTGTCTGCTTTTATTTGGAAGGTAGAAAAAAATATAGAAAATATAGAAAATAAATTTTTCTATTTGCGGTCGCCCTTCGGCAGGCAATGTCAAGCCATACATGTGTATTTGTGATATGAAAGAAACCCTTCTCATAAATATTCAATAGCTTGAAGGATTGTAAAGATTGTCCCAAAGGTATCGATAACTAGACCTCGTCGCAATGTTTTCATGTTATAGAAAGCCTACCGGTATCAATTTTTTGAGAAACACATGCATTCATTGAATTTATTTAACTCCGTCAACGTATTAAACTGAAGCTAATATCGAGAAAGAAAAGAGAGTTCCGATTCAAAATCATTCTTTAAGTTCGAGGCAGATATTCGTTGATTTTGCTGTGTCTCACAAAACAAATCTTACCGTTTTAAACTGTTTTTTTTTTTTTTTTTAGTGTGAAAGCCGTTGCCGTGTGGCACTAATGCCAGGGGAAACTGAATTTTCCCACCAGAGGTTAAATGGAAAGAATCACGTCAATTTCAAGGTAGGCTGACTGTTTTCTTTGGGTACTTTCGGCATGTAAGACTATAAATAAAGAATGTTGTCTGAGCGTTGTGTGCCGATGGAGATGGCAAGTTCTTCGAAGAAGAGTAGACTCAATAAAAGAAAATTAATGCATCTTGCCCAACCATCACACAAATCAATCATTGGAAATGCATTTCAGACCGATAATTCTACAAACGTCGCCAGGCAATCTCCGCTTTCAATTAATATGTCGCCGCTCGAATTTTTTCTTTTTCCAAATTTGAAATTACGACCTCAATACATTTTCAATAAGACGAATTGTTATATCTGAGGGGATTTCATCGGAAATTATTTATTTAAATGCCGCAAAATTCCGGTTAATGAAGGAACATCACTTCATACTGTACTGCTTGTGGAACCAATTCTTAAACACAATTTCCCTTTTGTGGAGCTCTATCGCTGCTATGGCTGACGACGGCGATGTATAATTGGCACCTATTTACCAATGCCATAATCCCTGCACAATTTCGAGGAAAGGCGAAGGCGATTTTCATATATTATATATGTCTACACAAATATTTACGCACTTGAGCAATGACTTTACCATTAAATAACTTTTCACAAAAACTAACAACAAAAGTGCACCAAATATCAAATATCAAGACAAGTGCACGACAGATGGTAAATACCTACAAATAAATACCTGCACGTACGCAGTGGAGAGACAATGCTGTATGTTTTCTTTTTTAATTTGGAAATCCTTTGACATTTGACTTCTGCTTCGCCTGCTTGTCTGTGGTATTTACTGTCTTTTGCCGCTGCTATTGTTTGCAAAGGCCTTATAACTGCGGAGTGTAGAGTATACGCGTGGGCAAAAATATATATGCGCACGAACACACCTACATAATACAGAGAAGTATATGCGCCGATTCACAGGGAAAAAAATGAAAAAAGAAACGTTTGAGTGGCTGCACCTCACCTTCATACAGCGTTAGTACGTGACAACGATTTCTTTATTGTGCCTTGGCAAACAACACAAATGCCCAAATGAAATGAAATTGGCGCGAGACAAGAAGAGAAGAAGGAGTTGCATACACATATACATGCGTATATACATACAAAAAATTGTATATAAACTTGCCGAGTTGGCTTTATACCCAGTCAATCGATTTTATGTCGAAGATAAAGCAATAGATATTCATTTGAATATATGCATGTGTACATACATGTGATATATTTGAGGCGGACGTGTTGGTATTAGTTAACGGTTCTTTATATATGTATACGAGCATGTATATGCAATGATTAGTTTGCTTCACAAATGCCCAGTGAGAAGTTAGCTAAATTGTTGAGCATGATTAATTTAGTGAATTTTTCAAATGCATATGAAGAATGTTACTCATACGCCATGGCGCACTAATAGAGGAATTCTCGCTGAAATCCTGAATACAATAAAAAAATTTGTAAAAATTTTGATAATCAACAGGGCGACGAAATCTCAAACATTTTTTCCGAAAATTATGTTTTAAATGTTTTAATAATTAGAGTATTGGTCTGGTTAGGACTTGAATTCAAGAGCGTCTGGGGAACTAAAAAAAACAGCTCAATGAAATAACCTTATTACAGAAACAAGTTTTGGAACAATATACATACACGAGTATAGAAAACATGATGAAGAAGCTGCAAGAATTTTGAAGAGGAGAAAATAATCAGCCGTTCCTTATGCGACTAGGTTTCGAAATTTTGAAACTCTACAGTCTATGGCAGAGAGCCGATACGAAGTCATGGATTCAATGAGGTTCATTAGAATCGAAGTGGCTGGACAACAAAGCATTTTGCTCAAGCTTTTGTACCATTACAATAAATCTTAGTCTGGCTCAACTGTTATCGATGCAAAAGATCGCTAGCTACCACAGCCTAACCTAACCTATATAAAAATTTCCCACACTCTAAACATCCTAAAGTCGCTTGCTATCTTTGACTAATAAAACCCGTGCAAAAAATCTTTGTTTCAAATACAACACAGTCAGTTTTAATGTTGTAAATCTTGTCAACCATTTGTGAGTTTTTTATTTTGAGGAATATAAAGAAAAGAAAGTGTGAAACTGAGCACTTAGCAAGCAAGCAGGTGCACACACGGCAATTTCGCCAAATGACGTACATATAAACACATGAGAAAATGAAAAGAAAGTAGCGCAAAGAAAAATCGCACAACAAAACGAAGGTGTGAGTAGGGTTTGTAGCTGCGCAACTGCCATTTCAGGTGACGATGTGAGCGCTTACAGCAATTTATTTGACTTTGACAAAAAATTGGCGTTAAAAGAACAAAAGAAATGCATGAAAAGAGAAAAAAATTAAGAAAATGAAAGAACAAAGCTGCTGTGACAAAAAACCTTAGTCACATAGAATCAAACACTTGTCAAAAGGTGCCAAGAGGTGGCTAACTAAGCATAAAAGCGAGTATGAGTTGCAGGAGAAGGAGCAGGAAAAAGTGTTTGAAAAAAAATGCCAGAAATACCGAAACAGAGTTGAAAGAAAAACGCTGTAGAAGGAAACAGAAAAAAAAACGTAAATCGAATTCAGCTTTTGTGCTCGTATGTACCTTAAATTGACAGGTGTCGCAACAGCACGCTCCGCAAAGGCGTCATGAGGGATATTTAGTGACACCTAAATAAAAGGCAGCAAGCGTATAAGAAACAGCAAATAATACTAAAATATAACAGTAATTCTACGTAGTAAAGTAAAATGCGTTGGAATTTTATGTCGCATGCCACAAAAAAAAAGAAGGAAACGAAACGAAAATTCTTTGCCTATAACATGCTAAGCAAAAAGTCGAAGGCGCGAAATATCGAATAATTTTGCAGTGAACTTGTTCTTGGTTTTGTCTACTAGAATACTTTGCAGGGTTAATAAATTTATTTACCAAAGAAATATTGCAAGCAAACTAATAAAAGTGTCAATGAAAAGAATGAATTCAATTTCAGTTATGACCCGGCTCTGAAAACGGCTTGTGAGTATGTGTGAACCCAAGCATAATCCTTACAGCATAAATGTGTAATGCCATAAAGATATGCGTAAGTATTTTACAGCACTGAATGACTGAGCGAATGAATGCATGAATAAAATGATTAAGAATTTATGAGGTGAAGTTGCCAAAGAGACGTCCTTCCTGCTAAATAACAAGCGGGAAAAATATGATGTAAATATATTTATGTAAATATGTAAATAATAAATAAAAAAAAAATAATTTTAAAAACTGAAATTGTATTAAATAAAGCAAAATAATGCAAAATAAAGTAGACTTAAACAAAAAATTGAGAACAAAATAAAATGAAATAAAATTATTAATATAATGAAAATTAAAAATATATATAAACTAAAATATAATAAAATAACACTGAGCAAAACAGAATAAAAAAACTAAATAAAAGTAAATAATAAAAAATTAAATTAATTCAAATAAAAATACATACATAAAGTACCTAAGAATACCAGGAAAAGCTGAAAAGTTTGAAGAGACGAGCTAATTATTTCCACCCATTTTAAGCTTGACCAAAATAGTGCGAATACCTTTTATAATGATAACATAACTACAACTCCAAAATATATTTATATTTTCATTTCAGTGCATCAAAACTAGAAGCAATATGTCTACACACACAATTTGACATCGAATGCCAAGTAAATGCTTTCATCGTCTAGAAGTAATAACTCTTTCCTGCACAATTTCCACAAATTAGCACAGATACAGACATAGATTATTATAATTGTATTGTACATACTACAAGAGGAAGGATCTAAGGAGATTCTGCAGCTCAATTACACAATATAAGCTTTGGGTTAGTTTATATTATAATACTTGTATCTCGATAAACTTACAAGCATTTTTTTTTTTTTTGTAATTATGAGACCGCAAAAATTGTAGGGATCAAAACAATGAGACTGAATGAAGGACACAGAAATATCTTGCGACAAATTAACCGCAATTAAAGCACTTTAATTAAGCCCAAAACCAAAAGAGGGCATGAGTAATATCGACCGAATCAGAGACAATCATGATATGCTGACACTTACAGTCAAACAAACATACACACACATATACAGTTAGTTGTATTTAATACACTTGTATGTATGTAAATAGTGTGTATGCCTTATTATGTGAGCAAACAAAATCAAATTTCACCAAAAGTGTGTCATACTATAATCTTGGCATGAATTGTTCGTTAAGGGTTCGGCATACAAAATGACTTGGAATGACAAAAGACAATAAGTGAGATGACATACTTACGGTTAAACTTGTAGGGATGTATCTACGTATTTGTTTGTGTAGAGTCGTGCATAATATCAACAATACTGAGTTCTCAAGCACTCATACATGTGAATGTGTGTGCACATATAAACATAATATAATGATAATACTGATGTATGGGCCCAAATCGTGTACTGTGCAAATATAAATATGTACATATATACAGGGTGAAACATAGCGATGTTCTATTTGAATGCTGGTGCGTGCAATTAATTGTACATATGTGTCTGTTAACAGGCAATCATAATCAGTAATATAACAAGCAACGCTCTAGCCAAAATTTGTAGCATACCCAAAAGGCGCTGATAGGTAGTGGGTTAAAGGTGGAACTACTTTTGTAATTCGAAAATTAAACATTAAATTATAAAATAACATAAAATAAAAAAATATATGAAAAGAGAAAATTAAATTGAATTATAGAGAAAAAAAATAATAAAATTAAAATAAAAAATTTAATCAAATTATTAATTAAAAATGAATAAAATAAATATAAAAGAATGAAAAATAATATGAAATTAACTAGTAAGAAAAAATTGAAGAAAATGTAGGTATTACATAACGTTGGGTTGAGGCACAATTGGATGCAGCCAAGTCATAGATATTGTCTTTTTTGCCAGCAATGGTCTATTGATTAATTAAATCGATATTAATTATGTTTCTTTTTTAATAATTTTTTATTTTTTACTATTTTATTTTTTATTTTCTCCAACAAACATACACGTATGGGCTCCTCGATACTTTCTCCCAGAGCCTTGTCCTGTTGCAATTTTCCTTTTCTTTCCATTTTAAGCGTCTGAGTGACTGCAAACTTTCACAAAAACTTTTTGCTTACGACAATCTGAGTGGACCTTTTTATGTTTTTGTTTAGGCCATCCATAGAGATAACTAAGAAGATTGTTAAATAAGATTAGACAGCAAAACTCTTAGGCGTTGAAGCGTTAGCGAAAAGTTACCTTTCTCACAGAAAACTTAGTTATTTTATGATCGACGGAAACTTTCGACGGCACTGAAATGCCAAAAGCATAAGCTCGAAGGTGTGTGTGTGTGTGTGTGTGTGTGTGAAAGTTTTCTTAAAGTATTTTGACACAAATATTGTTGACAACAAAACTAATTAAGTTAAATGCCAAAAGTAGGCAATGAAGGGTATGCGAGTAAAGAATGTGTGCTTGTGTGTAAGTAAATATGAGTTTGGGTATAATAAATATTATAAACAAACAAAGAGATTGAAGATTAAAGCTGGCTAAGATAATCACACACATGCGTGTCTGATGCTGATGAAGCATGACTGACAGCTTTTTAACTAATTTGCTTTGTTTGCTTAATTGCCCAGTATTTATCAGCCACAAAATCATAAATTCATACTTCTCCTCACCCGCAAAGTGCCCTTAGACCAATGTGGACAAGTCAACACTCACCTGCTTGCCGAATGTGGGCGACAGCGACGGCGGTGGCGAGGGTGGCGTATAGAGTATGCGCTGTGACTCTATATTCAGCCGATCGAAGGCCTTCTCCTCCAAATGGAACTCATCCTCGCTATTTGTCTCTTGCGGCACTACATCTGGGTTTTTATCCTCCAAACTCGAGTGACTGCCCATATTGCGCGACAGCGGCTCTGCGCTGCCCTTATCCGCCTCTGTTGTGGTTGTATCACCATTCGGACGACGCGTATTTTTCGGGCGTACACGCAGGAAAATCACAATACAAATAGCGATCAACATGACCGTGCCAACGATGCCGAGCAGAGCGCCCAGCAACGGTGTTAATTGTACTAAAACAGCGGTGGATGAAGCTGTGCGCAGCAGCGGCGCTGAGAGGGTACGTCCACGCACACGAAATGAAGCTTTACTTGGACCCTGCATATTCACTGCCGTTATGCGTATCACAAATACCGAGTCGCTGGGCAGACGTTTCACGGTGAACTCGGCGTATTTGTAGGAAGTGTTGTAGAGTATTTGGTTGGTGAGTTCGTCCTTGACCTGTACGTGGAAGTGTTGTGGTATGCCACCATCGTAGCCCGCGATGCACTGGATTTGTATGGAGTTAGCGGTAGCATTGTAGGCGGTGCAGTTCTTGACGGGATCTGGCAGGTCTGTAAACGAAAAGAGGGAAATTCAAATTAACACAAAGCTCTGAATGGAATTACTATGTGTTGAAGTAAAATAAAGGAATATCATAATAATTTCATCTTTTGAGAGTTTTAATAAAATATGACTGAACTTTATAAAGCTTTTAAAATATCTCTGATAATTCTCAAATTCATTTCATGCACCTTAATTCTTTTTTAAATCCAAAGACAACCGCTGTTGACTACAAATTATAAAATTTCTCTTTCAACTCTTGTGCAATATTACAACTTAAGGTCATTTAAAGGTTCACCACACACACAAAACCTACAAATGCACTCACTTTACGCCCAAATAGTTTAATTTCTAGCCCCCAAAAATTTAAACAACCCAAAACGCCTTCGCTTTCGTCTCAGCGTTTACGCTAAGGTACACTTGAGCCGAGCTCCTTGGTTCCACTGCTTGCAGGGGCAACGAGGCTCAGCCTTTTAGGGTCAATAGTGCTCTTGAGTGTGTGGCACAGAAAGGCACGTCGAGTGTTTGGCTGTGGTCGGAGGTGAAAGTCGGCTGCATGCCGCGCTCCACGTGTAGTTAATAGTTAACTCAAACACACACCTACAAGAGTATGTACATACACGTATGTGAGTAGTGCAAGTGTGCGGCCGCAAGACTCACTTTTGCGGCGAGCAAGTGTGGTTTATTTTGTTTATTATTTTTTGATGAAAGTTTTTTTTATTTTATTTCTTTTTTTTTCTAAGCACTCTTAACAACATAGTGAGCGCATGAAAAGGATAAGCAAAAACAAAAGACAGTTACGCAGAAAATTGCAATGAAAAGCAGAAGCGTTGTGTGTGTGTGTGTGTGTGTGTGTGTGTGTAGTAAGTAAAACAAAAGCTTACAAGTGTAAAGACAAGCAGTAAAATTGAATCAGCACACCAGCTAAACAAGCAGGGTGTGGTACGCAAAGATAAATAGAGAAACACACACACATAGATATATATATATTTTTGTAGAAAAGAGCTTAGTATGAGTGTGAAGCATTGTCTCTGTGAGAGTGATTTCCCAGTATGGCAGAGCTGAGGTGGAAATGGATTAAAGCCAAACTCTACGCTGTAATCGAAAAGCGACGTCAGAGATCCGATCTCTCAAAAAACTACACTCAATCAACAGTAGTCCGGTGTATTTCTTATGTGAGCTCGCTGTGAGTTGCTATACAAGAACGCTTCTTTGGTCGTTGGTTCTGAAAGTAGTAGGAACAGCTACCACATAAAGCGCACCCAGAGCATTAGATGCCAGCTGTGCAACTTATCTGAGGTGTTAAAGACATTTTTCCTGTGCAAGCAAGTGTCTCCTAATAATCCTAATAATCTTGTTGGAGAGGAAGAGAGAAGGCGAAGACAGCGTTCAGCTAAAAACTGAGAGAAGTTAAGAATTGTGCCAGCATCTCTTTGCGCCTTTATGTTACGACATGTAAACCTAAAGGAAACGCACTCAAATTCGCCTTGGAATAATCTTTCATACATTTCATGATAGAGTCTGTAGTAATGGTTCAGAATTCAGCACATGGGCAACCAGTTTGATAATGCTGGCCATAACAGCTGGCATTAGGTGTGGTGTACTAACCGCGGCGGGGTTAAAGATTTTACAGTTGCTATTTTTCTTACACAAATACACATAGTGCGGTTGCGACTGCTGCTTGATGCTTCCTCTATGCGCTTGTAATTCTATTTTATAGCCATTTTAGTTAGATAAGTACACTTTCCGAGCATGCACCGCACTAACGCACATACACATACCCATACACTCATACACTTCTTCGGTGAGGAGATTGTTGAAACAATGCAACGCAAAGTTTTTATTACAAAGCTTACGATTTTTTCTTACTTTCTCCCTGTCTTACGTAAATCGCTATGCACATATGCCCGACTCTTCGGTACAGCTTCCGCCTTCCCTCAGCTACAGCAAGAGTAAGAGCAAGAGTGCCACCAAGCTAAACCCGCACTCGTGGTAACTTGAGTTGTTAGTCTTAATTATCAAGGGTCGCTTGAGTTGTACGCCGAGACCGAGCCTCGTCGGTTGCGCTTTGGTTTCACTTTTATTTAACAACACCTTTGCCACTATAATCTTATATATGTATATACATATACATATGTATTGTACATATGCTTTGTATATTAAATCATGTATGTGTTTATGTGTGTATTGTAGCAGTGTAAATATGTATTTGTAGTGCTTTTGAGGGGGAAAATAATGGAAAAAAGACGTGCAGGAGTAAAACTTAAAAACTCAAACTATATTTTGCATTTATGTATAAAGATACATATATATATATATATAGTGAATGTAGTATGCTGTGCTTAAGTAAACCAAGTTTTGCTGATAGAATAGAATATACGTGGGCTCATAAGTAAATGGCAGCTTTACTGATTGCATGATGAAAGATTTGATATTCTCTCCGAAAGCAGGTCAGTACCTGACCAATCAGTTGATACTTTGAGAGCAGCTTGAATTATTCAACGCAAATCACTCAATTTTACTCAACCCAATTAAACTAATTGGGAACTAATTTTAGGTAAGTTAAATCAAAATAAATACAAGGGTCCTTTCTTTAAGCACGGTTTGATTGAATTTAACTCAACGCAATTCCACTACACCCAACCCCGGTCATTTAACTCAAGTCACTGCTACACATTTAACCAAATTCAGCTAAACGGTAAATAATAAATGCAAACTCTACTCACCGTGGGTCATTTCGACCCATTTTAAAATGACCCTACAGGAATTAACTCAACTTAGTTCAACTAAAGGAAAATCGACATTGGAAGAATCACATCAAACTATTTGAAATAAACAAAAATAGATTTCGTTTGTTCAATACAACGCAATTCGACTCCATTCAACTAAATTCATAGCACTCAAATCGAATATCTCATAACTCAAGTCACTCAATGCTCAACGTCAACCTAATTCAACTAAACCGAAGCCAATCCACTCCATTATACTCAAAATAACTCCATTCAAGTTCACTCAGCTTAAGTCACTCAACTTGTCTCAATCCATTCAAACTAATTGAAGACCAGTAGTCATAAATGAAGTCAAACTAAATGAAATCAACGCAAATTATATTCCGCTTAGCTGAATTTAACTACATTCAACGCAACGCCACTCAACTAAAATCCATTATATTCATCGCAATTTGATTTTACTCATCCTAAGTCAACTCAACTATCTTCAACTCAACTAAGCGCAGATTAGAGCAAACGAAACGAAATCGACGTACGATATCCTATACATGCAGTCATTTTCTGATATTGTATCCTTCTAAAAATCGTTCCCCTTTAAGTATCTCATCCTTCACTTCCTCTTCTTTTAGTGAAAAAAAAAAAACTATTAATTTTTTCAAAATAAATTCATCTAATTCAACTCGTTAAAAATTCATTTCCATTTATCGTTAAAAGCACTTTGTCATGTATCCATCCTGTTGGCACTGATTTACATACATACATATATACATAAATACATACATATAATATTTGCACACTAATAAATACTGCATTGTATTGTAATTCTTACAAATGATTTATCTGGAAAAATCACTTAATCAGTGATTTATGGGACATTGCCGAATTGTGGTCGGTAAGCATGCATACACATTAATGCATACATACATACACAAACATATGTATGTAGACATAAAACAAAAATTGTACTTGACAATTAAATGACATTCATTTTATGTTCAAAGTGCAGGCAAGCAGAAGACGAGGTGAAAGGAAAAGAAGCAAGGAAGGCAGGCAAGAGGGGAGGGAGAGAGGGAGAGAGCTATGAAACTAGAGCTCAGTGTTAAAATGAATTCACAACGGTGGCGAGGAGCAGTTAGAGACATATATATATATATATGCATGTACCAATATGTATATTTATATCTCGTAAGCAACATGCAAATAATAATTGAGTGCAATAACAACAAAAAAGTGTCCGAAAAATGATAGTTTTCATTTACAAATCGTTTGCTGGCGATGATGATGATGCTGATGATTTTCGCCTTCACCAAGGCAAGCAGCCGCAGTCAGGAGCTGCAGCAACAGACACTAAGCAAGCAATACAAGAGCAGGACAATGACACTGTCGAGCAACACTAACATGTATACAGTAACCTATGTATACTGTTGCGGTGTGCAAAATACACAATTTGTGAAAATGACAGCAGAAATAAAAAAAGATACAAAAAAATATTGAAAAATAAAACAGGAAAAATTCTGATTTTCTCATTGTAAATATGCAAAATGCAAACAATTTACGGACAATTGCTGCATGCGGTGGAAAATGGGAATGCACAAACACGCGCACAGCCATGTACTAATATATATATATATATATATATATATATACGTACTTAGTACTAAAATAGTTTGATAAAAAGTCAAGTTACTGCAGTACCGTTACAGTTTGATGGTTGCTTTCCTGTGCACACTGAAGGCGAAATCACAATTAAATTCCATTGCTGTGGGTATGAATGTGTATGTGTGTTTTAGAATCTTCAAATACACAAAAATAAAAATATTTAATAATTTTTTTCTAATTTTTGCTACGGAAACTTCATAAAATAAATTTCCAAAATTTAAGAGAACCTTTTTTCAGAGACATCTGGGTCTATGCTATTAATTTGACGAACATATGAAACCAGCAAAGTTACTTAAAATGTCGGAAGTGGTTGATTGTATATGTATGTATGTGTGCGCTTAAAGTTTTATGACAGTAGAAATGGAATGACAAATCACAATTTATATGGAAAATGTGCAAGAAAGACGAGCATTCACTGGGGAAAATTCATGAAACATGAAATTAATATTTCTTATTTCAAGTATGCTGTAATTAGAGGCACATGAAATGGTAGAAGAGTGTACAGAATGAGCTACAAAAAAAATATTAAAATCAATTTAAGAAAATGTGTATTTGGATTATACAAAAATTATTTAAACTACAGGCTTAAACTAATTTTTGTAGCAATTATTTTCCTAAATATATTTTTTTTTAATAACAATTTTTGCAATACGAAGAAACATTTTGCCTAAAATAATAACGAGCTTTAAATCTTAGGAAATAAAAAATTTAAAAATAAATACAAATTTGATAAAAGCTAAACAAATATATTTTATGCAAAATATTGGGTTATCCATTTGGTGGTTTCAAAACTGTAGTGCTGTCTTTAGACATTTGTCACATTTAAGTTTATAAAAAAGGATCGACGATGGAAGCAGAGGAAGAGCAAGATCTCCCCTCCGTTGGAAAGACCATGTAAAGAAGGACCTGCCTTTACTGGGTATTTCCAATTGGCGCCGAACAGCGAAAACTAGAAACGAAAGGCGCACGTTGTTAACTCGGCTATAATCTCGTAAACGGTGTCTACGCCACAATATGTGATTTCACCAAGATTATGCCGCATGCCACACAACCCGAATGAATATGGCATTGTTCCGAGAGAAATTTGCCATCAGTTAGCTACCGAGCTCGTGCGACTTGACAATGTTGGATTTTTTTTGGAGTTACACGAAAGACCGTGTTTATGCGGATATACATTTAACGCTTGAGTACTTGAAAATCCACAATCGTCATGTTGTGGCTTAGATAACCGCCTAATATGTGTCTATATATATGATGTAATATAAAAAATAGTATAGTATTTGACGTGCATGCTAAGGTTTAGGCTTTATAATAAAAACGGAATTTAGGGAAAAAATTATTTTGAATGAAATATGAAATTCCTCGATATTTCGTTTAATTGGATAACAACTTTCAAGCAAAAAAAAAAAAAAAAAAAAAAAACGAGCAAAGAATAGGCAAGTAAAAATACTTATTTCTTTTAACCAACATTCATTTAGTAGACTTTATTATTTTCATTACAAATTTTGCCGTTGTACACTTGTATAAACATACACACATACCCACCCGCACACACAGGCAAGTGCACAAGTTGTATTAAACTTTTGCGGGAAAGTACAATAGTTAATTTGATTTACCTAACAATTCACTTGAAATTCTTCAACAATTTTTATTTTAATTAACGTAAAATCAACAAAAGTAAGTTTTGTAAAATGTTGAAAAGAAATGTGTTTGTATGCGTGTGTGTTTGCGCATGCACGTACATTTTCACAGGCTCCCTAGGCAGCAAATACAATATATATTGTAGAAACATATGACTTGTATGCATATACTCGTATATATAATATATACCCAATTGACTTCAGCTTCCAACAATACTGTTTTGGCGGAAAATTTTTGAATAAAATATAACGAAATACAAATTTTTGCTTCAAACAATGCATTACGAGTTAATAATATGTATTTTAATATAATTAGTTTTAAAAATTCCTGGTTATGTTTTCTATTTTGCTTTTGCCTATCAAAGGGAGTAAGCGGAAGATTTTTGTAAATTTTTTGCTCGCCACTGTACACTCAAATATTTTGAAATTCAGCAGCAAATATACACTCCTCACCACTCCAATGGAGCATATACAAATATATATTTAAAGGCCTCACACTATGAGTTAACTTTTTTGCGAAATAGAGCGAGTATAGAGTAGTAGTTTTTAAATCATTATTATTTTTTGTCATTTAGGGCATTTACGCACGAAAATACCTGAGGGAAAAGAACAGGTGTTACCTAGAAAATGATTAGTGTGAGTTTTTACAAGAATTAGCTCACTTATATTTTTACGGAGACGAGGTTTCGCGAATTGTCAAAAGTGTGTTTATGCAACAGATTCATACCAGTAAAATACTAGTCCTTTTAGCATGTTGAATTCCTCGCAAGTTAAACAACTAAATTTGCGTGGAGTGAGAGCCCAACTCTTTGGCTCCTGCTTTCTTGCCTTAAATGGAAAACTGCTATGCAAATATAAAACTGGTATGATTTCATCCTTAAAATACTAGTATTTAACCAAAACTTTCGCATACTAGTCTACCTTCTCACTGAAGGGACAGAGTACGCATGCACATATATGTCTGTTATATGAGTGCTCTTGACTTGTCTGAGCCACATTTGTCCTTTTGACATTAATTAATTTGTGCAAAAGAGAAATGCTTGCGATAGTGAGTTGAGAAAGCTTCTGAAAATTTTCATTGCGCTGCTGAATTGTGGCAATGTAAACATTTTCATTGATTTTTTTTTTAATATTGCGCCGTGAATATGAACCTGAAAAGGCGCGTAAAAGGACTCAAAGTTGAATGAAGTGTGTAGTAATTTTGTTTCTAGGAAATAAAATAAAATGATCCATAAATTAGGCTAAGGAAAATTTCTGAATTTCTTGTTAGTAAAAAAAATGTAAAACTGAAAAAATATTATGAAATTATTATATAACAAATTTTTTATTTCTTATTCATATTATATTGTTTTTGATAAAACTTTTGAGGCTTTTGGTTGATTCATTTTTAAGTTTTAATATTTTTTAATCAACCTTGACTCTATTGCGTTTACTGTTACAACAAGTTTGTACAAACATACTCATGCTTCATAAAAATTACATACAAACACCCACACATAGAAAGCTGCGCGCATCTATACGCGCCTCATAGCCGAATTGCGAATTCTTCAGGGACGCACCCGGAAAATTTTCTAAAAAACAATCACGGAAAAATCTCCGGTAGCGGACTCTCACTATATTAAATAAATAAATCACAGTTTCTGCTTAATTCCCAATTCCTTTGCCCACCCCAACACACTCACCTGCGGGCTGTATGTGATACCAACAGGGCTCGCTGTGCCCCATCGCATTGCTCGCCACACATGAGATCGCCCCGAAACTATCGTACGAGTCTATGTGGTAGCTGTAGACATTGTTGAGCGGTGGCGCCAGTGGTGACTGAGTGGTCATCGATGCAGCGCCCAGGGGGCGGTGATGTTGTTTTTTGTGTAGGGCAGCCGTTAGGCGTTTGCGTTCGGCCAACTGAAATTGATTGCTATGTGGTAGCATATCATGACTAGAGCTCGCCGATACCAAACCACCAACTCCACCTCCACCTCCAACGCCGCCGCTGCTGCCGCCTGCCATGCGGCCTTGTTGTAATTGATGTGCTGATAATTGTTGTTGTTGCTGATGCGTATGTGCCAGCTGCTGTTGTTGTTGTTGCTGACGATTATCCAAATGATTTTTATAAATCATGTTCGAATAAACCATCTGCGTGTGTGGCTCATCCTCAGACAACCCGTCCTCTGTCCTTTCGTGATCGTCATCATCATTTTCGTTATTATTGATGATATTCGCGTTGTTGTTGTTGCTGTTGTCCATAAATTCACCATCATCATACTCATCGACATATTGAGTGGGCGCAATTTGTTGCTCTTCAACATCTTCGAAACGTATGTTGGACCACGCGCTTCCGCTACCGCCGCCGCCACCCAAAACACTCGCCGCAGCCGCAACACGTCCATGCCGACCGAGCAGAAATTTTTGCGCATGACCATGTTTCCGCTTGCTACGCTGATAATATCCGCCGGATATGTGTCCTCCAGCTGTTGCTCCTGCCTGCCCGCTGACGCCAACATCCGGATACAGCAGTAGCGGCATGGCGGCCAAAGCCGACGCCATCGTTGCGGGCAATTCGATGAGTCTCTCCAGTGAATTGTTGAAATGCCATCTGTAATTTAGATTATCAAGTGGATTTGAGTCCACTTGACACGTAATGTTTATGGTCTGTTTGAGGGCGGCGCGTATGGTTGTCGACTCGGCTTTGCATACTGGCGGATCTGCGAAGGAGAACAGAGAGAGAGAGAGAGAGAGAGAAAGGGAGAGTGTGATTAGATTCATAGGGAGTTGCATGGTTGGTGGCCTTTGACTTGTGGCGCGGCATGAATGTTTCATAACCTTAAAAATGTATAAGCTGGGAATTTAATTGAATGTAATGGCCAGCTTTGGGGCATTTGAACGGCTGTAAAATGTGAAATAATGAGGGATTTGGCGTTTGGACAGGATATAATGACTGTGTTATGGGAATTTTCGGTTGGTTGGGATAATATACAGATGTCACGATAAAAAAATTTTTTGACATAAAATAAAATTCATTTTTTTTTTTTTTGGAATCAAAACAATTTAATTTGAGTTTAAAAAAATTTGTGTATATATTTTTGGGAAAGCTGCATATAATCTTTTGAGGTTATGTTAGCAAACAAGTTTTGATTTTTTGTGCTTTTAATACTATAAATAATAATAATAATTAATTTTTGTCTACTTACATTTCACATCCAAATAGACCTCATTGCTGGACACGCTGCCTTGTATATTTGTAGCGCGACAAAAATATTGACCGTGAGAAATTTTTGAAATGCCTTGCAGTACAAGCGTTTGATTAGAGAGAATCACGCCGCGTGAGAGATGAAGTTGTTTGTCCTAAAAATACAAAAAAAAAAAATATATACATTAAAATTTCTAACGAAAACATAAGAATTTTGTAAAATTTTCAGCTTAAAATTCAAAAAGTGGGCTTTATTAATGCTAGAAATGTTCGCGAAAATATTCCAAAAGGAATGAAATATTTAATAAAAAGGAAACTAGATTTTCGGCACATTTTAATATATTTTGTTTAATTACAAAAACTGTTGGAAACTAAAAAAAAAAAAAAAATAAATCTATTATGAAACACTGCAGACTGAAATTAAGATTAAGTTTGAATTTTCGAATTAATTTTTATGCAATTTAACCGTTTGATGAGAATATAAAAAAATCAAAAATTGCAAATTTTGAGTAAGAATTTAAAATTTTTTTTTAAAAAAATCTGAAATTTTATAAAAATTTCATTAAAAAAATGTGAATAAAAGTTGAAATTTCATTATTTTTTTTCTTTAACCTTGAAAATTTTTAAAAACTTGCTCTCCGTAAAAAAAAAAAAAATAAAAAAAAAAAAATTTAATTACTCATCACATTCTACTTGTTCTTTAATAATTTTTTTTTTGTTCTGAAAACAGTCACTAAAAATCGTGAAAGCTCTCTTATTTCCTGCTTAGAAGCTCACTTTATTTTTAAGAAAGTAAAACTGTAGCGTATTTAATATTTTGCAATAACTTTCAACAAAAACCTATATAATTCGACCACTAACAAATAGCTCAATATAAAAAGCTTAATGGATTCAGGAATAAAAGCAAGCGAGTGTATGAAAGGTCTTTGACCAATAGCATTAAACAGAGTAAATCATTTTTTTATATTTTCTCTTCATTTCTTGTGCATTCATTTTTGACACATTATGAAACTACTTTCTAGTGAAAAAATATCCATTTCATATACTTGAATCCTTGTCAAAGTCAACAGCATAAGCACGCAGCAAAAAGGACATGCATGCAGTTGCCATTAGAAGGGACAATTACAGCGGGAGGACATGAGCCAAACTACAAATCGTTTAAGTTTATATCTTTGTGCGCTTGGATATAAGCACAGCTTCGGATTGTTGTTGATGGATTGATGGATTAAAGGGTAAAATATAAGCAGCAGGAAAAAATTGATACCAAACAAAAAGTATTGCTCCTGCTGCTGCTGCTGCTAGGGGACCCTTTTCAAGTTATTCCACAAACTACTCAGACCCAACACCTGTCATGTCGTGTGGTTACTTAGTCGAACGAGCTTGGACAGTAATGTATGCTTTCGGCAAGCAGTAGCAGACGGAAAGGTGCATAGCAGCTGTAAGAAATGGCAGAAAAAAATCGAAGAGAAGTGAAGAAAAATAGGTAAAAGGACACGCCAAATATCATCAACGCTAGTTGCCATTAAAATGTATGGATAGCGTCGTGCCGAGCTTCTCGCTCTGGGCTGCACGCTGACACTATGCAGGTTCTGGAGTAATCTCTATTTATAGCCACAAAACAAATTGCTTTCCATTCAATTTCTTCGAATTAGCATGACAATACTGCTACTGCAAAATGTATTGTTTTGAAAGTAAGTGCATACACATACATACATACATATATATGCGAAGCAAAAACATCCATCTAACGATTGAGTACTGCTCCCTAATCCAGTTGTGAATTTTTTCTTTTCATTTATTTTTATACTAAGCTTCCTCTCTCTTTCTCTCTCTCTCCCTATTTTCATAAGGCCGTTAAAGTGCTGAGACATTAAGTGCGGTGAGGTTTGTATGTGTGTAGCTGCTATTCTTCATATATTTCATTCGCTTTGCAAGACGGGGGCGGCTGTTGAAGGTACTGCACGGTTCGGTAGCTTAAAGGATAACAGTGTTGGTCGGGCGCAAATAATGGCGACAAAACGACAGCTGAGTACGAGTATGATAAAAAAGTGTCAGGCTAGTATTGGATAAGATTTAGACCTGATGTGAAAAAAAATTTAAATACAATAATATTTTTATTAAAAAGAAGTACCTAAAAATAAGGGGTTTTTCACCCTAAAATTATATTACGCGTATGAACTGATTTTTTTTTTTAGTTTTTTTTATAAAAAAACTTTTGCACATTTTATAAGCAAAATGATATTATGTAAACGTACATATATATTTACATAATAATATATTTAATATAAAATTTATTTTTTTGTAATTTTTGGTACAAAAAAAAGACTTGTTGGAGTTAAGTAAAGTTAAATTAAATTTAATAAAAATATATATTGTTTTATATACACTCCATTTTACTTTTATTTTACTCAAAAAAATCCATCTTATCTTCTGTATTATATTAAAAAATGTATTACTTTGCTCTTAATATTTTTTAGAAAATAATATTTTAATATTATATGTTGTGTACCTCAAGTCAGTCTAATGTCCGCTTGAGGAGAAAATGCCAGAGCAACGATGAGAAAAGGATATCAGGGCACTGGCGCCACTCTATGCATATGTATATATTACACTGGGTGCCGAGTTATGTGCTATTTGATCTATGTATTTGTTTGCTTGCCTTTACATGCACACAACAACAACAATTGCAAGACAAATCAAGAAGGAAAATAGGGAGATAAAAATCGAAGAAAGTAATGTGCAAATAATACAACAGTCTCGATCAATGAAAAACAAATACGTCAAATAAGGAAAATCGAATAGTCAAGCAGACGCAGTCGACTTGAGCATCCACATGCATTGGGTGTCCACGATATGCAAGGCTGAAGTGAAGTACGCGGGGACATAGCCACAGTTGAGTGCCTTTATTTATTATTTATTTTTAAGACAGCGAATGCGCGCTGCATTACATTATTTGCGAGGAGTACTACAGTCAGAGAAAAAAGTTAAAAGGAAAAACATAAATAAAAAAAAAAATAAAAACATAAAAAAATGTTGTAAAGTAAAGTAAAATAAAATAAAATGAAAAAGGGCTTGCAATAAAATATAGAAAGATTGTAAAAATGCGCAACAGCAATTGCAATTGTGTGGCAAAGTCATGGCAAAGGATTGTCTCTTGCATGCAAACCTTTTGGTGTTTGCCTCTGTATTCCTATATTTATGCGCACATCAAATGTTTATATTGCAAACAAATATACATTATGTAATAAATTTGCTGCACATTTTTATATTTACTGAGAAACTACTCAATGAATTATATTTTATTTATTTTCCTTTTTCTTATTTGCCATCAGTCTCCAGTTGAGTGATTGTCTGACTAGTCACTTTAATAAGGGTATATGTGAAACAAATAAACAAATGTTTATGTATATATGTTTATGCATACTCAAATTCATCTACTAATGGCTTACATATTTAAATGCACACACACACGTAGGATGTGTGTGTTTGTTCTTTGTAGATGAAGTGATGTACCTACATGCTGAGTACCTCAGAGTGCCAAAGAGGCACTTAGTACTTATATTTGCATGATATTTGAGTTTGAAACAAATGAGGGTAAATGCACGAATCCAGCAGCTGTAGATACTTATACAACAACAATAACATTTTTTACTGCAGTTATTCGGGTTATCAAATTGAATGTTGCTTTTTCCATAAAATAATTTTGATATATTACCATTTTCTTACATAAAAAGTCTAAAAAAAAATATAAAAAAAATGTCTAAATACAAGAGAGGATGCTGAAAAATATATGCTTTTGGTGTTGAATATTTCAAAAATAATATATTAGGTTTCTCAGTTATTTAGGCATTAAATAATTTAGGTGAAATATTATTAACTTTGCTTACCCGAAAATAAAAAGTAAAAAATTAAATAATAATGGTATTAAAAGAAATATTTTTTAAAATTATTGTTTTTTTTTTAATTTTTTACTACCGAGGACTGTACTTTGCTGCTTTTCTTAAAATCTTTTTTAAATTATTATTTTTTTTTTTTTTGAACTTTTCAACCTTGCCCTGCTTAGTCCCAGCAAGAGTTTAGTCTTCTTCTAATTTCACAATAATTTGTTAATTGCCTACTTTCATGTTTTCATAATTTGCAATCTTCTTGCATGGTCATTAAGAGACCTAATAGATTTTCTTTTATTAAAGCCAACTTCCAGGACATTGCACATGTTCTATAGGTTTAATGCGGCACTGGTTCGTCAGTGACTTATGTGATTTCAATACAGCAATTTGGGTCACAGCTCGAATTCGAAGAGCTTTACTGGCTCTCATTATAACATGCTACCTAGATCAGAGATTTTATCAATGATTCCACCGGGCTCGATCGAGTTTGAGATCATCACGGTGCTTTAAAAATCAAAAGGTGGTCTTAGTTATTGTGTATTGGTGTACTTTTGCTTCAGGAGGCAGACATCAGATTTCTTCATATTTACAGAGAGAGTGCCAGCTTTGTTCACCGTGATGGACGAATATCGCAAACTCTATTAACTGTGTAATGTTGAAAAATTCTTGAACAGACCTCGGTTTTTTATTTGATAAGACAAATATAATTATGGAGCTATCGAAATTGAATGAAGGCAAACTTCTTTTTAACAATCTATAGTTTTTTTTTGTTGTAGAATGCAATGGTTTTTAAACTGCTTCCTATTTTTTACGATAATTTAAGCACAAAAACATTCAAAAAACTTTTGTAGTGGAAGTTTCCATTCAGTTTTTTACAGTTGCCTACTTTTAAGCTGATACTTTGTTTTGAACGCTAAACAATATACAAATTCGAAATATTATTTTCGGTGGGTTTTCAACAAGAAAAATAAATTTTTCAATTAAATTCTTTAAGACTACTCGTGTAATATTCCTTTCAACACAAAGAAACTTCTTAAAGCAAGCTTACTGACAAATCTACCCACACACCCGCATCGTGCTTGTAGGCAACAACAACAATCACGAGTATAAGAGAATGTGAAAGAATTGAAGTGCATATTAAATAGAGCCAACAGCATTTTTGCCGTCTCAAGTGTAATTGTTGTTTTATTGGAAAAAAAGAATACAAAAATACAAAAAAAAAAAAAAATAATGAAAAAAACAATACCAACAACAAAAGAAAGTGAACAAAAGACTATAATGCTTGTATGCAAAATAAAAAGTGGAGCGCAGGAGGATGAAAGCTGTACCAGCAGAAATAAGAATAAAGCAAATGTGTATATGAGTATGTGTGTGCGCAAAAAAGGGTCACACACACGTGTAGAGGCACACATCGATATGTTTGCGAAGGAGCATATAAATGTATGAGCAGTAGTTTCCTCTGCACTGCACTGTATGTAGGTATCTCATGATCGCATTGTTTCAGCGCGTCAATGAATTTTATTCTTTCTTCATTCATTCATTCATTCAGCAAGCGCTCAGCTCAAGCTGACATTTTTTGTTATTGTTTTAAATTGTATTTTACCTTTTTTGTCTTGTGTTGACTGCTTGCAACTTGAAATTTTGTGCATATATTAACATATGCATTGTGCAAACGAAAACAAGCACCCACACACATTCGCACTTCTGCATATCATATGCACTTGTAGCGCGCTTTTGTTGTAAGCAAATAAAAAAAAAAAACTTTAGACCTGCTTTTGTTTGCAAGTTCCAGGCTCTCTGAAGTGCGTATGTGTTTTGTATATGTGTGTGAGTGTGTGTGTGTATTTTTGTTTACTTGTCTGAGTTTATGTTTTGTTTTAGCATAACTTACATTGTGATACCACTCGACCCGAGTTATGCCCGGATTCGCCTTCACATCGCATTCCAAGTAGACATCAGAGCCCTTAAGCAGATTGTTCGGATCCAAAGGTGCGCCTAAGCGGAGTGAGACAATGGGTGCGTCTGTGAAGAAAAACAAAGTAGGAGAATAGAAAAATTTTCATTCATCATTTGGTACTTAAGCGAGTAAGAAATTATTTCAGAAATTTATAAAAAAATTTTCACATTTATTGAAAAAAGGTTTAGAATTTACTGTTTTAAATAAAAGAAAACGTTTTGTATTAACTAAGGTTATCTGACTTTGCAGGAAAGTAGTAAAAATAAGCTTAATTAAAATACATTTATTTTGAAAAACTAAGTTCGAAAACAAATTTCTCAAGTATTTCTAATCTGGTTTGCGGCTGATAATTTTTCTGAAATTTTAGATTTTTTAAATTGATTTGTATTTAAATAATTTTGTTCATCTTCACATATTAACACGAAAATTTAGAAAAAAAAAAATTTTCAAAAATTTTGGACATAGTAAAAAGGCATAGAAAAGCAACTTAAAATTGAGATCTGTTTTGAAAGTATAGGATATGATAAAAACATTAAAGAGGAAGATAAAATAAAATAACAAAAATTATTTAATATAAAGAAAACTATTTCTTTCCAATTGTTTTTAATTTCAAAGAAGAAAAAAATTGCATTATTGTAAAATTTTTTTATTTTTTAAATTGTAGTTTGAAAATTTTTTAAATTTGGTTTTAATCGAAAAAACTGGATTGAAAACAAGTTACTAAAAATATCATAAGTTTAATGCTCAAGAATACTTAAAATGTTTTTTTCATTTCAAAATTTTTCATTAATATTTTTCAAATCTTTTGACCTTTAATTTACAAATACCTTTCAAGTGTTTTGTATACTTAATTATGTATAAACACACGTTATTTACTTAGTTCAAGCGAACACTTGGTATTTATTTTCGAACTAATTGATCTCATGTTCGTTTAAGTGCTTTAGTTATTACTATTATTGACTAATAAATATATGTACGGCATAATGGCAAATTAATTTCAAAAAATAATTTGATTTGTAACTGAGAGAACAGACTTCGCTTAAAATCTAATTAAAATTTACCCAAATCAATTAAGAACTTAATTAGTACAAGAAAAGCAGCTTAGCTTTCTCGTTGAAGGAAAAATTGGCTTCGCTAGTCAGCTAAAGCTACACTAAGTGTTTATTACTACACAGCTAACAGACAAACACACATACATCCATATGTAATTGCATAAATGCTGGAGTACTTATATTTCTAAAGGTAAAATAGTACTTCGGTGTGATATGTGTGAATGTGTGCGTGTATGTGTGCAAGAAAGAAAGAAAGAATTGCATTACACATACTTATGCACATATATACACATGCACACAGACATCTAACTAACTTTACTTATGAAGTATGCTTTCGAATTAATATGAAGTGGATGCGAGTACTCGCACTTGAATGTAACTAACTCGAGCGCACAAATAGTTAAACATATGCTTATGTATGCATATATACACATCTATATGTTGGTATTCATGTATGTATGCCTGTTTGAATGCAAAGACAAGTGCATAAAGCTTGCATTAGCGCTCGCTAAGCTATGCAACTGTCGACAATTGACTTACGTGTCACATTCAGCACGCGCGAATCCTTCAAGTACAATCCCATATTGCCATTACTCTGCGCCGTCAACACCGTCATATCGCCCTCGTGTAGTTGCTGCGATGTTATAGATGGATTTAATGAAATGGAGCAGACTACTTGACGTTCGTTATCCTCGGGCACCGGTATGAGCATCAATTCGGAGACAGTTGTATTGCCATCACTGGAAGTCTGCAGAAGCAAGAAAGCGGTGAGTGATAAAAAGAAATAAAAAATATTGGAGTTAAAAGATTAACGTTGTTGGCGTAAGAAGACGAATTTATAGAGGGAGGGGATGCATTTATATATATGGGTATAAGTACTTCGACTAGGGAAAGGAAGGAAGGTAAATAATACATATATGAATAAATCAATATTTTATTGACAGTATTTTTAATTCTTTTTTATTATATTGCGCAAACTCGTTTTTCGGTAAAATGTACTTTCATATCTCTTTTAAGTTAAATAAGCTTTGAGAGCGCTCATTCAGGATAAATATATTAACCATTCTCGATGCAAAACCTATTTTACTGGGCTTACCGATTGTGTTGCGCCTTTGAGTATCTGACCCGCCTTTTTCCAAACAATTTGTGGCGCTGGTCGCGCCCCAACAGCAGTGCAGGTCACATGCGTTCGGGTACCGGCGATGAGTGCGTGGTTGAGACCTTGCAGCAGCAAGCTGAGCGGTGGTACTGGAAGATAGGAAGAACAAATAAAAATTTAGGTAATTGGAAAAAAGCAACGAAAGATGATTGATTTGATTTAATTTAAATTAAGTGGTTTTGTTTTATTTTGCATAAAATTCATTATATTCCAATTTTTAGTTGATTGACTAAATTTTATTTGTTTTTCTTTATTTATTATTGCATTTCTTAAAGTTTTTTGTGTTTTTTTAATTTCTGATTAAATCAATTCTACATTTTATTTTACTTGATTTTTTCACTTAATGTTGTTTTATTTTTATCTTTTTTTAGTTATATTAATATTGTTTAAATTATTTTATACGACTGTATTTCATTTTATTTTTCTTGACATTAAAATAATTTGGTTTTGTTTTATGTAATTTACATTTTTTTATTCAATTTCATTTATTATGTTTATTTTATTTAAGTCGGTTCAACATTAAACTTTTTTTAACGTTTTTATCAGAGAAAACAATTGTTTCTGAATTTTTTTTAATTTAAGGTACAGTGCTTTGCACAAGCAAATGCCAAGCGGTAATGCATATGGCCAATTATGAATAAATAAAGAAATGTTGCCTATCTTAAGGCGGCCACTCTGAGTTTGCTGAATTCGCAACTCATATACATATGTATTTATGAACACAATAGCGCATCTTTCAATACGAAATATCTTTTTATATTTAGAATGTAAATTCTACAAAATTTTAGTGCCCGCTTTAGGTTTAAGCAAATGCCAATAAACCTTCGAGCAGCTTATGCTGAAAGCCTATTGATATCAATTTCTACTCGCACCTGATATAACCGAATTTCTTATGAAGTCAAGGATAGTGGATGGCGTGCAAGTTAAGCATTTCTTTCTATGTACATTAAAATCTATACAGCTGGTCACTTAAACATATATAAATATACGTATATTGTATGTATAGCAATATGTTGGCCACGAAAAAAATAGAAAACTTTATTAGCGCATCTTTAAAAAAAAGAATCTCAGCGCTCGTTCTACCTGTAAGCTAGCAGCAGGTGAGCTGGCAGAACTGGCCACATAAATCTTTGGGTATTATATAAAACAATCATATTTGCTTATACATGTACTATATTTTATGTATGGTGTATGTACATACGTAAGAATATCAATACATAAAATTACGTATATATCTGCCCACATATTTCTATAAAATAGCGCAAATATATTGTGCTAGTAAAATATTAAACTTGAGCTAGAGCATACCAACATGTAGTTTAGGTATGCGCGCATAAATGTAGGCTACAAATTTTTTTATTCAGTTAACTGTTTGGGCGTATCCTGGCTACATGTTTGTGAAAGTTACATGGTCTTGGCATTTTTATTTAATTTTTTTGTAATGTTAACATATGTATAAAAGGAAAATTATTAAAATACTTTACCGTCAACGGCATAAAAAACAACAAGCTTAGAGAGTACTCTCGTATAATTTAGGCGTTTTATTCAATTTTAAACGATATTTTGTGCTGAACTCAGGTGACCTATGTCGAAAAATGGCTACGCTTATTCTGACAGTTAGCAGTAAATAGAGTTTTTGAAAAACTCTAAGACTCGAATTTTGGTTTCCGCCAAAAGCCTTACATAAAGCGAGTGTTGTAGTACTATCGTTACTGACATCTTGCCCTTACTAGTTTCACATTTCTATTTTATGTTTTTATATAAATAGGTAAGTATTTTCACGTTTATGGTAAAATATGCATAAATTCCCTAAATACCCTTTCATCATCCCTCTATACTAGTATTCTGCTGTATTCTGTATTTCTCGTGTTCTTCAGCTATTTGTTGACTTATTCGCTGCATTTGTCAGAGCATTTCAAACAAAATATTTCTACATATTGACATTGACATCATACGTTTGTACTATTTTACTTCTGTATGTTTTTTATTTTAGTCTCTGGCATGTAATTTACATAAGCATAACAAGTACATATATGCATATGATGTGATGCTTTGTAAATAACAAATAGTATATATTTTCTTCTTGTTTACTTCTTATGTAATGACAAATGCAAAGCTTTGATTGTTTAACAAGTGTTTGACGTTTAATGTGATTTGCTTTGAAGTCTGTTAGGTTGAAACACAAATTCTAATTTCATTGCATACTTGTAGGCGTGCTTCACATATGCCACTGTAATATTATTCAGCGTATTTACTTTAGTTTAAAGTTTTATTGTATAATGAAATAGGAAACATTTTCGATAAACGTTTATGTGGAATTATTTATGATTTAAAAGGGAAGGAGAATATCTGTGAGAGCGTAGTGGCAGGAGAGGTCAAATGCTAGATAGTATATAAATGGGTTGAGAATTGGGGACTTCTGTGTTGATTTCAGCAGTGCCTGATTGTAAAAAGCTAGAATTTTTTCTTCTTCTCCGTCATTCGCGTGGACAGTAAAAGCATTTTTGCAATCAGTATTTTTAAAATTTCAATTTTTTTAAATTTTGCTAATTAATTTTCTTACTTTACTTTCTAATTGATTACAAGTTCTTTACAATTTCTTTATTAAATTAAAATTTTTTAAAAGTTTAATGTAAAATAGATAACAAATAAGACAAAATATTCAACAAATTGCAATCAAATGGGAAATTGAAAACATAAGGAAAATGCACTTTTTTTTACGAAAAAAAAATTCGTAGGTTTAAATTTCTGTTTTCTTATTAATTTACGCAGTTTCTTTATTTTAACAACTGTTGTTTTTATTAACGGTATTAACGAATTAATGAAAATGTATTTATGAAAAAAATACAGATTTAAGAAAAAATATTGAAATAAGTTGTGACAATTTTACAAAACTTCTAACAAACTCTTCCACAACTACATTACTGCATTACGAAGTTTCCAATTTGCTTTTCTCCAAATTCGAAGGCATCTCAGCTTGTCAATCAGTTACAGCGGCAACGGAAACAAAAACAAAAACAGAAAAAAAATCATTCCTAAGAAAATAGAATACTTCAAAAAATACAAAGGAGCGAGCAAAATCGAACGAAAATCGCCTTGGAGCTAGCGCAAATCGCACTAATTATTGGTAATCACGCGCCACACATGCGAATGACATTCACTTCAGAACGTAGTTTTTCGAGTGAAAAATGCACTTGAACCATCAAAATTAGTATTGTAGTTGAGACGTGCAATTATGGTTGGTGCGTGCCTCGGCTGATAGAAACTGGTGCAGGCAGTGATGTGGGTAGGGTTGGAGATGATGGCTGTGGGCGAGAATTGTTAATTTGGTGCGGGTGGCTCTGCGCTCTCGATGCTTGTGTGGTTGAACGCTATTGTTGATGGCTGACTGTTTTGCTGCGATATTGCACGCGCTGCTGTCATTAACGTGTTATGGAAATGTCACGAAAATAACAGCGTGGGATGCATGTGGAAGCAGGGTAAAAAAGAAAATATAATCACCAAATTTAGATCGAAAGTGACAAAGTATTTTTTGCATTGAAAACAAATTTTATGTAAAAGAAATGCGTACACACATCTTCAGCGCCATTTTTCATACTTGGAATAGAACAAAAACAATATAAGTGATTTGTGCGTATTTCCGCATTACCGTCCAGGCGAACCCATCCACCCTCAGCGCTCTACCGATGTCTTTCTTTATGTTTTGGCACATATTTTATCGCTGCCTTGTTGTTGTTGTTGTTGTTTTGCTTTGCCATACAGTTAGTCCTTTTGTTCGACTTTTAATTACAATCACGCGCTGCAAATTATGCAACCATTCTTCTTCGGCTGCTTATTCTTTTGCTACCTCTTCTTCTTTGTTGTTTGCTACTTATCATCGATGTATGTGTGTGCTGCGCTTGTTGTTGCCTACTTATTTACAGGGTTGCAACCCGCTGTTTTGTTGTTGACGTAATTGAAAAGTGTATTGTGGCGTACGCTCGCTCTGGTATGAGTGACTCTCTTCCCACTTTTATACCCTTCATGATAGAAAAAATAATGATATTACGTCTTGCTATCCACTTGGTAGGAATGGCAAGAGGCACAAAATATTATATGTAGATATTTATCTGAAAATGTATAAACCTGTAAATGGGTGAATGATGGTATTACTTTAAATGTTTGCCTAAAACGGTAGCATATTTCAAAAACGTCATTTTGTGTTAAAAATCGCTAAATATACCAGTTCAAACTATGATATTCGGTTGATTTCATAAGTAATATAAAAGGAATATTTTCACTGAAAATTATCAAAATCTGACTTGCACATAGTAAACGTATAACTTGGTAGACTAATATGACGAAAAATTCAAATGTGCCTGTATAATTGTCCTAAGGTAATTCTTAACTATTTTTTTAATAAATATATATTTTAAAGCCCTCCATGGAGGGTATAAAGTTTGGGTGGCAATTTTTCGATGTTTTTATTGTACCTTTTTTCACTTACACGTTTGATTTCCCAATTGTGTGAAAGCCGGTTTACTTCCCGACTTTATTGGCACCCACAGTTGTCGTAGTGAATAAAAAGGCTCTACTACTCTGAACGGCAGGTGTGAGTTCTGTGAAAAGAGTCAGCGGGGTTTCAAACGTGCGTTTTGCAAGCCGACAACAGGAAACACGTGTAAAAATTAAGTCTTTGTTGAGTCATCTTCCTGTTACGCTTTCAATTCAAAAATTTCTTAATCACTAGAATTTGCCACTCTCATCTATGTATGTATGCATGCCCGCATATATGTATGCTGAACACACCCACAACGTCAATCATATGGCAATGCTGACTTTATATTCCTTTTTATTTTGGGCGGTGCATTTTGTCAATACACAAAGGACCCGTAATAAGTCAGTAACAAGAGCAACAACAAAACAAGCGGCCAGCACAAATTAGTGGCACACGCTAGCAGGACGACGACCGACACCAAGACAGCAGAGTGAGTGGGAGCAGAGTGGCTAGGAAGCATCATTGTTGGTGGATATGTATATCAGTATATGCTTATTTCTTAAATTTTACAAATTCATGCATTTGCACGTACATTTATAGAAACATACACATGTACATATGTATATACATATATACACACAATTGTAGCTAAATACAACAATACGCTCGCACATTTGCTTATTTGCCTTTTGTTTTGCTTCAATACCAAATTTTTGTGTCTTTTGTTTAATTTTCAGCTTTTCTTTCGCACCATTCCACGCCATTGTTGTTGGCAAAAGTCAAATGTCTGTCAAATTGGCGCTTTAATGTCTACAATTTTCCTATTTAATCTCTCAACTTGACTTATGTCAAAAGAATTCTTTTATTGTTATTGGTGTTGCTGTTGTTGTTGTTGTCGTTGTCAAATAGCGCCAACTGATTCGTGTAAATCAAACGCTTGCACAGAAATAGATTTTTTAAGCATTCAAAGCTTCTTTTGTTTCGGTGGTAGAAGAATATAATGAGGAACAAGAAGCAGCAGCAGCCTGTGTAATTTCCGCATAAAATCTGAAGTGTTTTTAATGGATGTATGTACATACTTATGTATGTGTATGTGCTTGTATGATTTTAAACAAGTAATTGTGATAATATGCTAGATTGACTTTTTGTAGAAACATTAATTGAGAAAGGAACAAAAGCGTTCTGCCGAGTAAATTCTTCACAAATGCTGTGTAAATAAATGCGTAATTTGAAGCATACTTTTAAGTGCTATAGTCATTTTCTCTATTGTATTCTGAAGCAGTCTAATTTATGATGAATTATAATGAAGAAACCAAAAAAATTCAACCTGTGTCACAATTCCAATTCAATGGGATGTTTGTAGCTTCGAAAAAGTTTTAAATTATAGCATAAAGCGGGCAATCCATTTTAGATGTGGCAGACATTTCAATGAAGGTCTACGAATCGGCTAAATTCAACACATAACAATTTCTTTGGACCATACAAAAGCAAGGTTTTGGCTGACATGCAAATGAAATATTCGGCTCACCAATTGAAAAATTAAGCTTCTAAGGAAACAATCAAAAAGGTTAAGTCGGTGTTGCCCGGTTTACAATTAAATTAATCAAGAACGAAAATCCTGCAACCAAATCGATCTTAAACACTTTATGAAGCGTAGATACCCGAACGATCAAAACTAGCGCAAAGCCATTGACAGTCCTCAAGAGAAATGTTTTGCGGAATTCTTATGATCCTTCGCGTATTGGCAATAGCGCAAACCGCAGGCGGAGAAACGATGAGTTTTACCGACGCTTATGCTACGTCGTACTATACTGTCTAGATCATATTGTTTGGATGAGCAAAAACGTTTCATTTTTGAAAGTCTTCGCTGTAGTAGCCGCTGATGGCAACTAAGACGGAGGAAGAGCTCCACAGTGATGAAAGTATGAATTGGAGAGGGCTCGCTTGTGACTGTAAGTATCGTCTAGTAGGGAAAAAGAGGAATAATCTTCGTCTTAATATTTTTACAATAAATGGAATGGCTGTTAGATTCTACTCCATTACCACCCGCTTGTAAGCACGCAATTCGTACCATTAGGGTACTGTGGTGTAGCTTTAAACATTTTGTTGCTCATTTTCTACCTGAACAGGCTTTGGCGCTTAATCACATACACATATGCATGCTAACCAGTTTTGTGGCTTTGAGTAAATATGAGTTAGCTCGGTTTACGATGCCGGAAAATCCCTTTGAAATTGCATTCATTACTAATTACTAACACACACACACGCGCGCACACAGACGCTAAAATAAAGGTAACCTTTTGTCATGCGTACACACACACACACATATGCGTATAAGGAAAATGCTAATAAGCATATAAAGTATATGAAGCGATTGTTAGCGACAACTATTTATGTATAACGCTTTGTGTATCCATAAGTATGTTTGTGTATTTATATATGCCATCTATTGTACATATGAACTTAACATGCAATTGTATGCTAAGTAGCGGCACATAAATGTCAACGACAGCATTGGTAATAACATAAAATAGCAGGACAGGACTGAAAGATGAATGTGCGCTTATATACATACATACATACGTACGGGTGTGTATACGTGCGCTTAAGAAGTTGAGTGGAATAGCATGTCGGGCAAGGCCAACTTGTTGGACCCAGCAGGCGCTCAGGGCAGCGCTGCGGACCTGAAGACAAAAGTAAGGAAGTGGGGAAAAGTGGTCAAAGTTAATTACTGACCCATGTCGCAGTGGCAGCATAGAAAGCTATAAAAAATATGAATAAAGTATGCAATAGGCAGTGAAGTGAAAAAATGAGAAACGGGCAAGTAGCTGAAAAACTTCTGTAGCTTTGCAAGATTTATGTTGGCACATAAAAAGTAAGCATGTGAGAGAGGAAAAAAATTTTCTACACACATACACATACACCTTACACTCCCATATGCACATAAATATATGCATTTTAAGTATTTTATATGCAAGTCTATGTGTTTGTAAGAAGTTTAGTATGCTAATTTAAGTATATATACATATGTATGTGCGCTCGTAAAAGCCTCTCTCCTTATTAATGTGACATATATAGTACGTGTGTATGTCGCACTGCAACATTTGCTCAATTTTTCGGCTAGCAGCCAGTAACAAACAGCAGTAGCAGCGTAATTAAGTTGTACAAAAACTACCAGCAGTTACTTTTTTAGGTTAAGTGCCAATTCTGCAAGTAATACAAGTAAAATGAATTTTTTCTTGCACCGAGTAAATATAAAAAAAATTTAATAATAAAAAAATTATGATATTGTAGAAGGAGACGAAGAAGAAGAAAAAATATTTTTTCGCTGAAATTCTCATCATTTTGGTAGCGTAGTTTTTTTGAGCGAGATATTTTACTATTTCGGCAAAATTAATTTAAGCTACTATACATATGTATACGCCTACATATCATAGCTTCATCTTTAATACGTAGCTTTGAATTTTAGCAAACAATGAGCGCAGCGACTTTATTATTAGATTCGGTCTTTGAACTTAATCGGTGTTTTCAATTTTAAATAAAACGTGTAAAGCTATTAAACAAAGGTACCCTCTATGTCAGCTGGCAACTTTAAAAGAATCGTTATAAAAGAGCTTAAAAATGGAACTAAAAAATTATGAAAAAAATGAAACAAATTTTCCAAAAGTTTCTTTCGCTACTTACAATTCATATCCAAGACAACTTTTTTCGTCAAAGCCGCCACAACATGTCCATTACTCGCCTGGCACGTGTAAACCTGTAGCGAGAAAGAAAGGGAAAATAAATATAATTTTTCTACGAATAAAACTTGATAAATTCAAGGCACAAGCAACCTTGCAAGATAAAAATCGAGCTGCCACAAGAAATATCGCCCACTTTCATGAAATATATTCTATTTCAGCATATTCTCACGCTGCTAGACAACTAGATTAATATCTTTGCATTCACGAACATATGCACATATATACACTCCCATACAGTCACACATACAATCACCTAATTTTGGTGCATTTTCCAAATATTAGTTAATACACATTACAGTTAGGTTAATTGGTATGTTGGCGCCATGGCGTCAACATATCACAGGCAATTAGTTAGCTAACGCAAGCGCACACACACACACACACGGATGGGGAGAAGGAGAAAAAAGTGCACATACAAATATTTTAATTAAGTATATTAAGAGTCAAATGCAAATGAGAAATTACTGTTAATTCAAATTGCTTAATATATTATGGTAATTTGAAACAAACCGACATATAAAAATACACATACAAAGAACGTTTGATGAAGCTCAGCGGGGGGGAGGGGTTCTTGTTAATAAGTTTTGGCGGGCAGTGGGTTTGCAGAGCGTTGATTATTTATCGATTTGTTAACACGTCATACATACATATATGTGTGCTCATAATTGTTTAGGCAGCGTGAGGTGTAAAGTTAGAAATTGCACAGTGGGTTTTAAACGGAAACAGATTACATACATACGTGTATATTATTTTTCACTTAATGCAAGTAATATTTATAGAACTTTCATATATGGCATTTATGCTCAAAGAAAGTACAAAACATATTTGGGTAAAATGCACTAAATTGATTTCAGTTAAATTTAATCTTAATGCAGGTTCATTGATTTGGTTCTGTGTTGGAAAAGAAATAAAAGCACTAAATAATACTTAATGCATGTAACATTGAACGCCGCTTTACGGAGTGGTTTTATGCTCGGAAGCATAAATAAAAACTATGGAAATAATGCACCAAATAGAAATTAATGCATTAATTCGTTTTGGTTTTCGATAAAAAGATTTGGGAAAATATCTAGAAGTAATGCACCAAGTGAATAGTACATCATGCACTTAATACCTGATGCAGGTTGATGTATCGCGTTTGTGTTGGAAGCAAAAAGAGAAAAGCAATGCCATCCACCCTTTCCAGTCTTAAACTCAAAAATAAAGTAAATACCCATCAATTCAAGTTGTCTTAACAGACAAACAAACAAAATATGTTATTAAGCATTTTGCCGCAAGCTTAGTTAGATACCGCACACCGTCACAATGTGGTGTAATTATTGTAGAAAACTATTTCTGACATAATACGTTAATCCGCCAAAAACTTTTCGAAGACTAGAGAACACACAGTGTAACTTTCTTTGAAAGTTTTGCAAAACAAAAAAAGTGAAAAAAACAAAATTATTACAAACTTAATGTAGCAAAATCTTAAAAGCTTTGTAAGCTTTATATAAACACAGAGCTTTGGCATTGAATTGCAGGTAAGCTACAAATAAATACGTATGCACGCACATCTCTGACTGTGCTAGGAGTGGGAGTGTGGAACGAAATATATCTATTTTTGCGGAAAATTCATTTGTATAAAAACCACAAACCTCTCTTAGTTTGCTGCGGATAATTTTCAGTAAGCTAACTGTGCAAAAGTTTTTGGCAAAATCAAACATTTTGAATTTGTTTTCCTACCAGATTTCGAGTGATTCTTAGAAAGTGCAAGTTTCTAAATTCAGGTGTAGCAGTGTAAGTTTGTTTTGGCGGAAATTTCCAAGATTTATTTATTAGAAGTGATTTAGCAGAAGCGTTGTTGGCAGTTAATTTAAGAAACTCTTCTCGAAAGATTGAAAATCATTAATTTTACAAACAAAATCAAGGGAAAGTAAATATCATTTGGTTGGAATGCGATTTCATTCAGAATTTTTTTAAATTTTTTTCCACAATGTTATGGCAAAATATATTGCACTTTGACGTGGAATAACAGAAATAATTGGAAAAAAGCGAGTTTTTATCATTAATAGCAACACCAATAGGAATTTCGTAAGCCCCTACATTTTAAGATAGTTTTATAAGTAAGTTCAACTAACTGGTCGATAAGGAAGGTGAATGTACAACGACTATAGGAAACGTATCCTCTTGGTAGCCGATCGCCATCCCTTTAGGATTTGAGAAGTTCGATGAACGGGATGAGGGCGCTAAAAGCTGGATCCTTGAGAAGAGCGATGACCCCTCCATCGACAATTCTGATAGAACGGCACCACTAAACTTTTTAGTAGAATTGTATAAAGATTTACATGCAACACTTGGCGACCCCAAGGAGCGACCTTCATAAAACCACTGTTCATATAAGCACTGTTTCGTAAGTACTCCAAAACCTATTTTCACTCTATTTGCCATAATAATCTCTTCATTTGCTAAACCACTACAAAAATTTGTTCAAAATGTCATAAAAAACAAACAACAACAGACAAATCATTCGCTGCACACACAACAATATTGCAGTTCTACGGAATGCCAGAATCCTTTAACAAAAGTGGGAAAAACTATAAGTGTAATTGAAAAATTAAAGACTATAAATTATGTACCAAAGCCGATTAATACCAACATTTCAAACAACTTCTACAAGAACAGACGTTTCAAAGCAATATATGTGTGAGCCACAAAGCTAACCAAAGCCAACTCAATGCGATTTTGAAGTAAAACATGTGGGCAAAAGGCGACACAATTGTACTAAAAAATACAGCGCAAAGGAAGAAAGCAAAGCAGAGAAAAGTGTTTCCAAATTCGTTTCAAAGGTATAAACAAAAAAATGTAAACCAGAAGACAAGACAAGGGAAGTCTTGATACATTTAGTGAGTAAATTGCAGGAAGAAAAATATGTAAGAACCTAGAAACGCAAGTCAGGTAAAAAATTAATTTACTAAATACCGCTATTTGGGCTAACACAAGGTGGCGAACAGCAGCACAACTTGCAATAAATGAAGGCCAATTTGTGTAGGAAGTTGTTGTTATAAACACACAGAGGAACTAGTACCAATAAACAAAATAACAAAAGCAATGCAGAAGGAAAGCAAAAAACACTTAAGTCGCCCAGCATAGATGACAACCTACAGCTCAGTGCCGAGCAAAATGGAACCCCTCAGCAGTCTGTGATGAAATATAGAAATTTTTTTACAAAAATTTATGCTGAGAAATCTCTACGTGTAAATGTTTGCCGGTGATACGTTGCCACTACGCGCTGCATGGGATTAAATTGTAACAAAGGCATGAAAAGAGTGGAAATAAATAGTTGTAGTGCAACCACGACTTAGACCAATCTCGAGTGGCCAGCGGTGGTGTGAACAATGTCGCATACATCATGAAAGATTCTTCATCATTTCCGGGTGGGTGTGCTAAGAACAGCTTAGTTAGACGCACACAATAGGCTTTGGAGTACTACTGTCTGTATAATGGGTGAGTATTGTTGTGGTGATATTTAGAGTAAACAAGTAAAAAAATGAAAAAAAAAATGCCACACACGTAGTGTGCTCCAAAGCAAAGGTAACCGGGCATATTTCGGTATATTGTGGCCCTTTAAACTGGTTTAACACCAAATTGTCTCGTTTGGATGTAAGGATGAGACATGAAGTGTTTAATCAAGCATTGTATAGGTCAGATGCCGGTCGGATAAATAATTACTAAAAGTCGAAATGCTGTTCGTTTTGAATGTCGACAATTGTTTAGTATGACTCACAAAGCTGTGAGCGCTGCCAACGAGTCTCCTAGCCCAAAAAGAAGATTCATTTTAGATACATGTGACGTTTGTAGGACTAAAAATGATAAAAAAAGCAATGGAATGTTGCATGCCATTGGTTAAAAAGCTTTTGGAAAGAGATATCTTTCAAACTCATTCTAAAATTTTTACAAGAATTTTTTTTTGTATGTTTGAGATTAAGTTGGTTATAAGAGGGAATAGAAAACGCTCTTCAATCGGAGGAGTTTTTACGTTCTGAATACTAGGCGCCTAAATGCATGCAAACCTGAGAGAGAAACAAAGAGTTGATGAGAGCATTGCGAACACTGGTTTCTAAGGATCACATAAAATTTTCTTACAATTCACAGCAGAATATTTATAAACTCTTTACCATAAGGTCATTGACCCTAGGTTGCGGGTAATGTAGCTTTTCTCTTCTACCATTTACCGATTTACATTCCTGACAAGCTCTCACTATTGTCATTTGGCATGTAGTGCACTGGGAACTGTCACTATACAAAAATTAATCCGACAATCAAATTTCAAGAGCACTAATAGCAAGGTAGAGTAGTAGTTCAAGTCTTGCCACAGACGTAAGTGTGTATGATTGGATGTGTGTATGTATATATGTATGGGTTTTGCACTGTCACCTGTCACTTAATTTTATATGTTGTATATTCTGTTTTGTTGTTTTCATAGACTTGCATTGTATGACATATTTTTGTTATTGTTGTGCATTGGTATTGTCACCAGGACAGCAAAATAAACACTTTAAGTAAAATGGCAAAGAATTCCAAGCGCCCGAATAAGTGTAAGTTAAGTGAATTAAAGGAAACAGAAAATGAGTCCAGACGTACAAAAGCGTCCAGTAGTGGTCACGTAAGAGCACTTTGTTGAATGAGTGAAAAGCAAATCACTCGAAAGCACATATCTACTCGTAGAATAAAAAAAAAATCAAATTTCTCGCTCAAGTGATTATTTTTGTTCCCGCCATTTGCCCTTTTTCGATTTGTGTTTATCATTATATTATGGTAAAGTAGTTATTTGCTCACTACTTACTCTTCTTTTGTTCATTATTATTATTATTATTGTTATTGTAGTTGTTGACTTTCAAATCCGCACAGAAAATCTTTTAAATCCTTATTTACTTCTATTCAACGTACGCTTGACACAGTCAAGTTGAGGCGACATAATGAATAATCCAACTGGCTTAAGATTATGACACATACACATAAACGCCAGACACACACACACATACATATTCAGCCGTAAGTGTGGCTTTGAAAGCATATTTTTCGGTAGCGCTGTCATTAATTGAGTGGTTTTGTAGTTTGTTTGCTTTAAATAATAAATGCTGAGTGGTATCATCGTCACAAAAACAATAACAATAGCAACAACATAGTCATAATAATAATAATAATGACAAGAAATTGAAGAAGCTACTGAAGAAGCAGCTGAGACAAACAATATGCTAAATATATATATATATATATATATATATATATATATGTGGGATAGATATGAAGCGACAAGTTGGCAGACAATTGCGCAGGTAAACAATAACACTGGCTAACTGTGCTTTGTATTTTCAATTCTATTTTAAACTGTCTTCTACAATTGAAAGATACTATTTTTGGATTAATAATTGAATTGTAAGGTTCAATAAATAAAGCTAAAGACAGTGTGTGTAAAATGTGCGTAGGCTTGTGACAGCGAAAATTGGTTGGAAATTTTTCGGTTATTTTCAGAAGATTTTTGTCTACATTTGAAACTATTTTCAGATTGCTTTTTCATATTTTAATCAATTTTTTTCGAAGTATAAAAACTAATTATTGCTAAAAACCCAAAATTAAAATTATAGAAAATAAAAGCCAGGCAAGATTCAGCTGAAATTTACTTTTGTGGTTATTTAAAATAAACCAACTGAAATATTTAATATTTTTCATTTTTTCATAGCAACAATGTGAAAAGTTTTCGGTTTTTTGATAAGAGAAAAATTACAACTTCTCAAAAAATTAGTCAATATCTCCTATTAAAAGAATCTTAGTTTTTGAAAAATATTTCTTTTCTTATCTTTGCTATTTTTCAATCAAAAAATGCCTTTCTTTGGCTCCTATATCTATACATATACACGTAGGTACTCTTATTCTTATTTTTTGGTACATTGTAAACTCATTACCTTCAAAGCACATTTCACATTTCACCCAAGAAACAAAAACACCTTAAGCAACTAAGTCAATGATTAACATACCTTAAGCTGCCATGACACATTCGAATATTTCCGTCCTCTTCTTCATCAGTCTCCTAAGCCACTAAATATGCGTAAATATATATTTCTGTGCATATTTGGTTGAGCCAAATTCTACGCCACAAACCAACAGCGTGTGGCAAAGCAATTTCACTTTGGCATACAAAATTTTATAGTTAAAATTCGCGGAAAGCAATACAAGTATGTGCAGCGAGCGTGTGTGCGTATGCGCGTTAAGGCGCTTAGAAGCGGAAAGCGGCGTTGAGCGACTTTGGCAAATCCACTTCATTTGTCAAGACGTAAGCAATTTATGTTAATTCATTTTTTATGTCATAATCATTGGTTCGCTGGTTAGAGATGGATGCGTGGAAGGAGTGTAGAAATGTAAAGCAGCCGCATAAATACATATACACGCATGTTTATATGTTTGTGTGAAAATACGCATGGTTGCCAAGAGCATGATTACACGAGTGTGTTAAAATTTAATATATTACCATAAAGCGAATCTAAGCGAAAAAGCCACCTGAAATGGGTGGTCTGGTACTACAAGTGGCTGTCGTATTTCGCGTTTGAGTCGAAGGTATATATATTTATTTTTATTTTTGTTATCATTCCAATTCCAATTACACAACTTCATTAAAAAAAAAAACAGTAAAAAATTAATAATTTTTTTTGATGGTATGAGAATACTAACTTTTTAATTTACATTTAAGATAAATTAATCATTTACTTGAGCAGACCCAAGTATAAAAATTGTTTAATGGTAATACAAACGTGCTTATATTTGTGTGATAGGCTTGGAGTGCCTAGTAGGAAACAATGAGTATAACATGGTTTTTAGCTTTATTTTATTTTATTTCAATTTTTTTATTTTATTTTACTTTAATATATAAATTCCATTACATATTATTATTATTTTTCTCTTAATTATTTTCATTTAGTTTCACTTTACTACATTTAATTCAATTCAATTAAGCAACTTATTTTATTTTAATTCATTTTAATTCAATTTATAAATTTTTTAATTAAGTTCTCTTTTTTCCATTTAACTTTGTATTGTTTTACTTTATAAAATTTTATTTAAATTGGTTTATTTAAATTTACTTTATTATAGTTAGTTTTTTTTTATTTTATGTCATTTTATTTTATTTCATTACATTTCATTTTTTATTATTTGTTTTTGTTTTACTTTTTTTTATTTTTTTCTTACTTTATTTCGTCTTATTTTATACAGTTATACAGTTTTTTATACACTTAAAATAATTTGTGTTGTACTAAAAATGTCCTACTGGTCTACAGGTATTTATTTGGAAAATATATGAATTTTTATTCAAATTAAAAGGGGAATTATTACGTCTGCTGGGAAATGTTGCCAAGACGATATCTTTCATTTTCATTTTGAACTGTCTTTCTGAGAAAAGCTTAATGCTTTTCTCATTTCTTTGCAGATGAAAGTAATGAAATTTTTAAAGCAAATGAATATTTTAAACTTATTGTACATTACTGTTTAAGGGGAGGAGAGAAAGGTATGTGACCGCATTTAAATTTTTTCATTAAGTTTATAATTTCTATAATATTTTTGTTTTTTTTTTGTTCAATTTTTAACCAGTTGAAAATGAAATAAAATAAGTAAATTGCAGTTAAAATTTTTCATATAAGCACAATTATTTTAATCAGTTGATCATGCTTAGGTTGAAAATTGGTTTTTAATATATTATATTGTTTATTAAAATAAATGGAGAAACTATCTTCTGCAGCTCGACTGTAAATTTAGAGCTGTTTATTTCTTCATAGTGAAATGCCCTTCCTCAATAGACTTTCTACTTTTAAATATATATTCTTCTTTCTCTTTTCAGCGCTCAACTTATATTACATTCTTTTTAAACTCGAAAATAACTTTATCAGAAACAGCTGTACACTGATTCACCCAGCCTCTCACTCTTTAATCACTCCTTCGTCCATATATACATACATACATAGAGGCCCGACCCAACCCATTGGGACGAGAGGGTGTCCAAAAATGTTAAATTGCACCAATACATTCTCAAGTGAGCTCAACAACAATAACAATACAATTTTTATTAACAACATTAGTCATTCCTGCAGCCAACGACAACCCAATAGATGGAGAGCATGGAAGGACAAGTCTCAAGAAGGTCAAAAAGCTGTAGGAGGAAGAAGACGAAGATATGACCTCATAGTAGCTCTCCTTAGCAACACACACGAATTCACACACACAGTCACTCAAGCAGCCACTTACCGTTAGCAAATCCTTCCGTTCGATATTTTTCAAATGTAGTATATTTCGAACGGTACCATCTGGTTGCACATGAAATGAATCGTCGACGAGAGCATGCTCACGCCACCAGGAGACGCGCGGCGGTGGCACGCCGCCACTGGACAGGCAAGTCAGATTAACGCTCTCGCCCTCCAAATAGGGGCCGGCCAATTGGTCGCGTATCTCAGCGCCATTGTGATCCAATATGGTTAAGCGTGTGGGCGGCACTGTAGGGAGAAAAGAAGAAGACAAAAAAGTGTGAGAATATGTATAAAAATAAGTGAAGCAGAAGCATAAGAAAATACGACGGCAAATGTGGCAGGTATGCGAGAATGTTGCAAGGAATGTATGAATATAAAAGACATAAAACATAAAAAGTATCAGGGTAAGGAAGTAAAGAAAAATTTCTCTGCCTGCAGGTTAGGGATGTAGCACGGTTGTAACAAAGCAACAACGACACACTGTGTTATCAGAATTCAAAGCAGGTAAAATTATAACTACTAACTGTCATGTGGTGGGGAAAAACGGCAGCAGCAACAACTACAATAAACTTTTCGAAAAGGTGAAGAAAAATGTTTTGAAAATGTCAGCAAGGTGACTGTTGACACCTGTCGCGGTGTCGCTTTTAGCTCTCTGCTCTGTAAGCATCGAAGAATGTAGAAAAAGTGCGAATGAATGTATTTTTCACACACAAATACACACGCACTTCAACATATTAGCGTTTACCTTACACTCTTTGCCTCTCTCTTTGTGCGTATGAGAAATAAACGGTGAGCGGAAATGAAAAATGTGCGCTGCGACAGCGGAAATGCCTCAACGAGCTGTGGTAGTGGTGAGGGAGAGCGGCGGATGCGGACCAAAATGCGAGTGTTAGTTTCATATCCGCCACAGAGCGCTCTTATGTTGGTCCTCGCAGTTGATTGTCAAGCAACAAATAATGCGAAGAAATGCTGTTGATGTTGTTGTTGTATTAAGTGGATGGTGGAGGCTAATGCCAAATGAAAAATATGAAATCATTTGATTTACACAATAAAGTTAACGCGTTAAAAAAACCGCCTGCTTACTGCGGGATTAGGCAGAGAAATCGTCGGTGTGAAAAAAATAAAAAGGAGAATGGTGTCCTGTGGCAACAAATAACATGAGTAAGAAAAAAAAAATGCGCATGTATTTATCAGATGCAGAGCAAAACTGAAACTACTAAGAAAAATTTTCGAAAACAGCTTTTAGAAGTCCTCTTAAAAGCTAAAAAATAAATAATAAAAAGAAAATCGATAATTTCCAAAATGTCTTCTGATGGAAAAATTTTGAACTTAAATCAAAATTATGCTGATTTTTGTTTTAAAAAAATGGCATTTAGAAAAAAAGATTTCTTTAAATTATTATTAGATTTAAAATTATTTCAGATGAAAACATCTTAAAATGTCTCTATATCGATGCGATATTTCCGACTTCAATGAGTTTTAAAAAGAGTCTGCTTTCATGTAAAGCTCTTCCCATATGAAATTCATTATATTATATATGAATACATAAGTATTTATATTGAGAAATATTTCACGCTGTGGAAAATCTTTTTTATTTCCATTTAATATTGCTTTGCCTTTATGTTCAAGACAAAGTAAGTGCAAAAGTGTAAAACTCGAAGATATTCCAAAAAAGACCTTACACTGTTGCAACTTTTCTCATTTACGACAAAGTTTCATGTTGTTTCACTTGTTTCTGTCGATTTTGAATTATTCCTTAGTTTCTTTTTGAAAGTAAATGCTAAATTTCAAATACAGCTGATTAAATATCGCTGGTTTATAAAAAGAAAATTTTACATTGCTGCAACATTTCACATTTCCTTAGGTACATTTACTGTATTTTGCCCAGCTATGTTTTAAACATTTATAAACTCACCTAAAACTGTTACATTAATGCGCCAATTGCGCGTCGGTGATTTATGAAAGTCCACACGGCATTTATAAAGCCCCGCATCGCCTAACTGTATATTCTTAATACGCAGTGCTGGTGGATTTGTGTCATAGTAGAAATGCGCTTTATTCTTAAAGACATTCTCATCCGCCCAGGGTATGGCTTGATGAAGTGGACGACCGCGAGCATCGAAGCTGGAAAGAAAAAATGGCAAAAAACTTATTATTATTATATGTTTTTATTTTGCGATTAATTATTATATGTTAAATATTTATTTTTAGAGAAAAATGTAGGCATATAAAAACTCTTGCCGCCGCAATTATTTATAATTTTGACTTTCAACGGAGTCAAATAAGTGCTTATGTCCTTCCCTGCCATATTTATTGTCTTAAAAGCTTTTTCTTCATTTATTTTACTAATCCAACTAATGGAGGCTGCTTAAGCGCTTAATATTTGTTAATTGCCTACTTATTAATTTCGTATTGAGTTCAATGGCTGGGTCGGGGTCGGCCTGAGTACTTAGCGCCGCATTATAACTGCTTAAAGAGCACAGTTAAATGCAAAAAGCGATAAACATTATGGCAAATAAGTTGATGAGAAAGTCCTTAGTATTGCAAAAATAAAACAAAAAAAGGAATAATGATAAATTATATGTTTGTATGTGTTTGAGTCGGCTCGCACTGTTGGCATACTAAAGTCCAAGAAAGGAAATAAAACTAGAAGAAAACAAGCCGGTCAAAAGCAAATAAATACTTTATGTTGTGATAAAAATTAATTAACGCATCAAGAAATATTAGTATTAGTAGTAATTTATGGGTGTATGCGTAGAGTTATGGTAGATTGCATTTGGCACAGTGGCGGCGTATAGATTTAAGATCAAGAGGGGAGTAAGTGACACAATTAAATTTAAGGTTTCTCAGTATTAACTGGCGGAAAATAATGAAACATTACGTAAATTTAAATAAATTTAGGAAAATAAATGATGAAAAAAAATTATTAATATTAAAAAATAACAATTTTAAGTAAAAATAACATTGGAAAAACAGTTACGGAAAAGTTAAAAAATTATATAATGACATTGCTAACTGAAAAAAATTATTGGTAATAATAATAAATAAATTAAAAAATAAAGTAAAAATTAAGATAACTAAAAATCATCACAAAATATATAAAGCTTATTAAATTTATTTTAATAAAGTAAAACCTCAAATTGTTTTCAATTTAAGGGTGCACTGCAAAGTAATTTTAAATATTATTTATTCCAAAAAAGAGGTATGTTTTTATTAAAAGACTGAAAATATTAACCAAACTTTATTTTATTACTGTTAATTAATTTTTAAATAATTGCATAAATATACTAAAATAATTTTTTTGATTTCATTGGACCCCACATAAATCAGTTTTCACTTTAACTCACGTCACTGTTTACCAATTTATTTGTTTGTGAAAAACTCTCTGCGTACTTCAATATCAAAGTTTGGTAACAGCAGGCGCTCTACTGTCGATGTTGTTGTTGTTGTTGTTGTAATAACAAGAGGTTTTTTGGATTTGTGCTTTTGCTAAGCTGCAAATGAATTATGCGCGTTAATTGAGTACAATTTGTAGCGTCAGCTTATATGCATGAATATATACATAAATATGCTGGTCCGATATGTACGTGTATGTATGTAAGTGTACATATTTAAGCGTTTAGCGGCAACTTTTGTCTAAAGCGCTTTCAAGAGCAAAATATCAAAATATAGATAAATAAATGTAACATATATAGGTCTGTAATATCAAACATTAAAACAAGAAGTGTTGCCACCTCTTTAAGATTTTTAATACAATTAATATATGATTAAAATGAATTACTGTTACTTTATTTACGAATATAGAACTGAAAATGGCGAAGAACCATTTTCGAGGGAAATATTTCGAGCAGGCTTGCCAGATATACGGAAAAATAAATCTTAACAAATTTAAAGGTTTATTCATTAAATTTTGTGGTACATATATACACAATTTTTTTTAAATAAGTAAGTTAAATATTTTTAAAAATTTGTGTTTTTATAAAACATTTTTTCAAGTCCATTTAGTAAAATAATATGCATTATTTGTCAAAAAGGAATATTAAAAGCATCTTTATTTTGAAATAAATTTAAGTGGGGAACCTCAAATTATTTACGCCGCAATTAAACACATTTTAGCCTCAAATAAAATAAAAAATTAAACCGTAATCAAATTCAAATTCTCAAAAAAGAAACAAGAAAAAAACGCAAACGAAATAAAATATTAACTTAATATGCTTGCATTTGTCAAGAATCAAAATAAATTACTGTAAACATATAGTATTTACAATAGCAACAACAACAGCCAACGAGAGGTTAAACTATAATGAAATGAATAAAATGGAAAGCAAGCGTGTCAAAAGTGTCAAATTGGCAATTAAAAATGTGCCAAGCGTTGAAGCTTCAAAAGTGTACACAAGAAGGTGGGTGTATGTGTGTGGGTGCCTCGACAAAGCGCTGACAGCTCACTCAAAGTGACAGTGTGGCAACAAATGGCTGTCACTTATCATTAAAAGCAAAACGTTGCAACAAAAGAGCAAAGTAAAATGTTGCAAAGGAATAAAAAAGTATATAACTTTTTTTTTTGCATTAAAATTCCTTTCCCCCATTTTTTTTTTAAATTAAAACATATACGACTAACAATAAATATAAAAAGTTTTTATTAAAATTGACAATAATTTCGTTTTTGACATTTTTGTCCATATAATTTGACAACAGCAGCAACAACAACAACAACTGTGTTTATATGCTTAGAACAAAAAAAAAAATATGTCGAGTGAGAAGGAAATTGAGAAAAATCTGTAAACCGGATAAAATTAACATGTCGACGTGTCGCTTTTAGGTGCTAAAATTGCAGTAAATTGTTGTTGTTGTTCTGTTCTCCTCTTTACCGCGAGAAGGAACGCATATAAAAATGTGCTAAGTGTAAGTGAGTAACCGTATGTTGAGCAACAGTGGAGCTTTCAAAAAAAAAAAAAAAAAAAAAAAAAAAAAAAAAAAAAAAAANAAAAAAAAATAAAAAAAAAAATTAAATAAAATGTAATAATAAAAAAAGTTAGGTAAAAAAAATATATAAAAAAGGAAAGAGAAAGTGAGAGAAAAAGGAAAAAATCTGAAAACAAAGAATTAAAAAAAACTTAAAAAGTAAAAAGTTAAAAATATAAATAAAGCAATGTATTAACAAATACAACTGAGCTGGAACAGCAGCTGGTAGACAATAAAAGCGCCCACAGTCCTACCATTTGAGACAGCCCGCTAAGGTGTCTTGCAGTGATAGCAACAACTTGCATTACTTGTCTTAGTTGTGATTGTCAGCATTGTTGTTGTTGTTATATTTTTAGTATCTGCATGTTAACAGTAAATACCTCGGCGTTGACGTGTGAAATGCCAATCGCTCACTACACGGCAGCGCTATTATGCTGATCGCATTTTTATGGGTCATATTTTGTATTAAGAAGAATCAGAGAAGGGGACGAAGTATAAGCCAAAGGCACCACCATTATGTGCTGTAGACGCCAAACTAAGTTGGAAGTTGGGCGTTTATTGCCAGCAACAAAATGTCGATTTGTCCAGCGAAGCATCAGCGGCTACAGCAGTCTCAGCATCAACCTCAGCCTACCTTTGGCTAAGAGCATCTAAATTTGGTTGTGACAACTTGCAGTCATATTGTATACACAGACATTTATACAATTCCATGTTTGTCAATGTTTTGACACAATTCATTCAATATGCATTTGGGCCCATTCAAATTTTATGACTCCCATTTTTTTTGTTACTACACTACAACGAAATTGTTCCGTTGTATACACATATTTATATGTATGTATGTGTATCTATTTGCAACAACGTGTGTATGAAAATATTTTATTGCTGCTGCTCACACAAAGTTCACATTTATTCACATTTTGTTGTTATTGCCACCTTTATTGCTGCTCACGCATAACGTTTTCGTTTTCCTCGACATTTCTTTATTTTTATAGCGTTTGTTAATATTAAATTTTACAAGTGTTGCAACATAAAAAAATAATGCTTCATCTATTTTATTGAGCCACTGATGGAATACATATCGATTGCAGTTGTCATTTAGTCATTTAATTATGTTAAAGAAAATTCGAAAAAAATTAGATAGTAAAAAGAACTTACAAAAAGAATTCAACAATTTTAAGCACAAAAAAATCGACGGGATTTAATCTTGTATATTTTTTGTTTTAGTGAAAAAGCGTCTTATTTTCATTAAAAAGTATCAGAAATGCTATTATATGCATTAAAGTGTATGTATAACCACCAGAGCATACTTAAAGTGGTTGTCCCACGGAAAATGAGACTACTTAAAAACAAATATTTTCTTAAAAATTCAATTTCATTTACAAACAACATATTTCTGCTCCGATTCAACATTTAACGAGACCTACGAATAATAATTTTAGTTATCGGTATACTATTTTGCTCTACGCAGTCTTCTTTTCGATGGGACAAATCAAGTATTTAAACATTTCAACAGTAGCTTCACATAAGAATCAAAATTCCAACAATCGGTGATGCTCAAAAGTGCAAGTGAAAATTTATGTGGCAAATTAAAACCACAAAAGGGATTAAAAGTCACCACAAGAGCGATTTAGGCGACACACGTCCCCTGCTTAATTTGCTCCCCTAAATTCCCACCGCCACACCTAGAACGCTGTGCAGTACTCTCTGCAAGTAAACGCTTTCAATGTCAATACAAAAATCTAGCCCCCTTACTTACTCACACATTCTCTCTCTTCCAGCTGCTTTCCTAGCACAATTTGACATTTTACGACAGTTTGGCGTTGCCTCCATTTTAATGGCAAAGTCCCTCGGTTATTAAAACGTATGTACATAAATGTTGTTGAAAATCTCGCTCTTCTTAACTCCCGCGTTCACATCAAATTTGTATAAAATTTATAGACCAGAAAATGTAATCTTTTCGCGTGAACAGTGTTGCATTTTTGATGCTCTGATGGCGAACCTGTTGTTGCAAAATCATAAAAATTGCTGATGGCAACACGAATTTGATGGGTTTTCAAAGTTATCGACACAACAGAGTTGAAGTGTATTACATTAGCTCTAATTGCTGAAAAATATGTTGCCGAACGGGATTTTTTTTTTAAATATTTTTATAATTCCCT